TATAAAATTATATTTATTATTATAAATCTAATAAAAGATATAAATCTAATATTAAACTAAATATTAATTTAATTTTTAATAATTTTACTTTTAAAATTAAGGTAATAATATTTTGGTTTCTGGATCCGAAATAATTAGATTATTATTTTTTGGAAAATAGAATACTAAAATTAAATAAGTATTATTAGAAGTAGCCAAATATAAAGAGTTTTATTTTTATTATAATAGCTATTACTTAAATAATTTTATTAGCTTTCTTAATCTTATTTTCTTTAATAGTATTATTATTTAAATTATTTAAAAACTTTATAACTACTATTATAAATTTATTTATATTTTTATTAGTTTTCTTTTTTATAAATATCTAATTTTACTTTTCTATAGCAAAATCTAAATTATTAACTATTATATATAAAGTACTATAACTTTATTATCTAAGCTATAAAATGAAATTACCTAATATTTCGAGATTAATTATCTAAATAATTATAAAATTAAAACGCAAATAGATATATTAATACTAATAATACTAATTATTATAATAGCTTAAAATAGCTTAAAGTCTATATTTATTCTCTTTTTAAATCTTTTTATAAAAACCTAATTAAAGATCTAAATATATACTTTTTCAAATTTTTATATTATTTAGTTATAAGATTTAGAAAATTACTTTTTCTTTAATAGTACTTACTCTTTACTAGTATTTATAATACTTATTTCTATTTACTAAGTCTTTTAAGAAATAGCTTCTTTCTATTTTCGAAACTACTTTTACTTATTACTTATTAATATATTTTAATTCTAGTTATAATACTTTCTATTTTACTATTAAATCCAAGTTTTTTATAGACGAATCTAGCTTATTCTCTAATTTTAAAAAGAAGATCTAGTTTCTTATTATATTAACTATAGCTTTATAAAAAACGAATACTATTATATAAACCGGTCTATACGGGAATACTAAAATCTGTCTATAAGATATACTCTTCCTACTCTCTTTTAATCTACTCTTTTCTTATAATAGCCTGCCTATACTACTACTATAAATACCAGATCCGCCTTATCTCTTTAAAATCTCTTATTTCTTTAAAATCGAACTCCCTATATATATACTATAAAGAGAGGAGCCAGATCCTATAGTCGGCTTATACGGATAATTGCTGCTCGATATATAAGTATATCCGGCCTATTTGCGACTTTCCCCTGGATCGAAATTCGAATTAAACCCTCTCTTATACCGCATACCATACCCGTTTGCAAGCAGTATACTATAAGCGGAAAGGAGAGCCGGTTTCGCAAGAGAAACAAGCCCGGCAGTTTATACGAGCTTAACGGATTATAGAGAAGGCGTTACAAGTGCGGATATAAGGAGAGGAGAGGAGAAAGCAATAGCTAGAGATACGAGAGCGGTAGGTAAGGGGGGAGTGCGGGACTCTAATACGAGGGGAGATAAAGAGCTTTCGAAAGGGAGAGGAGTATTGCAAGGGCCCGTATCGGTAGTAGGTAGGCTATGCGAACCCGCGGGAAGGTATATAGTGGGCAGGTTTACAAGGGGGGGAAGGGGATACGGACGAGGAAGAGAGCTTTGCGGGCTTGCAAGATAGCCGGGAGGTTTTTACGGGTGAGAGTGATCTGCAAAGAGAGGTAGAGAGCTTTGCGGGTAGGAATAAGGCTTGGGAGGGCTTGCGAGAGGGGAGGGGAAGCTTTGCAAGTGAGAGTGAGGCTTGGGAGGGCTTGCGAGAGGGGAGGGAGAGCTCTGCGGGTAGGAGTGAGACTTGGAAGGGCCCGTGAGAGGGAGGGAGCTCTGCAGGTGCGAGTGAGGCTTGGAAGGGCTCACAAGTGGAAAGGGAGAGCTTTGCGGGTACGAGTGAGGCTTGGGAGGGCTTACAAGTGGAAAGGGAAAGCTTTACGGGTGAGAGTGAGGCTTGGAAGGGCCTGCAAGAGATCCGGAAGAGCCCGTAAGAGCAATATTGCTTCTTTTGCAATCAAAAAAAGCCTCTTATAGACTTTGGCTAGTTCTTTACTTGCAATATATACCGGAAACGAAATAAGAAAGCAAATCGGGTCCGGTATATAAAGCAAAAAGCTAAATATTTAAATAAAAGCTTTTAAATATTAATTAATATATAAATAATATAAGTAATATAAGTAATATAAGTAATATAAGTAATATAAGTAATATAAGTAATATAAGTAATATAAGTAATATAAGTAATATAAGTAATATAAGTAATATAAGTAATATAAGTAATATAAGTAATATAAGTAATATAAGTAATATAAATAATATAAATAATATAAATTTCTTTAATATTATTTTTAAAAATTAGTAAATAATTAAAAATTAATTTTTTTATTTTAATTATAAATACTTTTATAATATTATAATTTATAAAATAATTAAAAATTATTAAAAGATAAAAGAAATTTTAGTATTTTTATTTTTATTTATTAATTAATATTAGATTAAATTTTATAAAATAAGCTTATTTTAAATATAATTAGCTTTAATTTTATTTAAATTAAATTATTTAATATATTAATAATAAATAAATAATATATAAATAAATTAAAAATGTTTATATAAGAAAATTAGTATTTTATTTTTTATAATTTTATATTTATATATTAATTAAAGTAAATTTATAAATAATAAATTAAGATTTTTTATTTTAATAATAATTAAATTAATTTTCTTTAGTTTTTATTTAAAATACTTATATTATTAAAATTTAGTAATTAAAAATATTAAGATTTTTTTATATAATTTGGTATTATATTATAATTTAAAATTTAATTTTATAAAAGTTTTTAATTTAAATTAAGTTTATATTTTATTAAATTTAATTAAACCTAAAATTTAAAGGAAATTATAAATAAAATATTTATTAATTTTAAATTTTAGTTATTAAAATATAAATTAAAAGAATAGTTTTAGCTTATTTATTAATAATTTTATATATTTATAAGTTATTTTTTTTTTATATAATTTATTAAAAGTTTATAAAAAGTTTATTACTAAAAAATATTATTTAAAGAGCTACTCGGGACGAGTTTAGGGCAAAATTATTGCTAGCCCCGGAGCTTGTATAGGGCCGCTAGTAATAATTTTAGCAAAGCGGCCCTAAACTCGTTATTAGTAAAGAAATTAACAAAAATACAATTATTATTAAAATAAAATAAAATAATAAATAGTTATTTATTAACTAAATTTAATATATAAAAAAGATCTTAAATATTATTATAATTATATTTTATAGAGGCTATTATAAGCTATAGAATTTAATAGTATTTAGAATATAGTTTTAGTATATTAAAGTTTTTCTTATTATCTATATTAAATTAAATATATTTATAAGAATCTATTTAATTATATTTAATTCTTCTTTTAATATAATCTTTATATTAAATTAATTCTTTCTTTTAGCTATTTTACTTTAGAGATTATAAAGAATTTTATTTAATTCAATAAAACATCTAAATAAAACTAAACTAATTTTTATTTTATTACTATATTTGGCTTAAGCTTATATAAGGGCAGTATTAGTAAGCTTATTAAATCGAGAATTTGGATATTATACTAAAGAATAAATAAAGAAGTAATATAGAAAATATAATCTATATATAAATATAGCCTTATTATTTATAATATTTCTTTTATAAGTTCAAATAATACTTTTATTTTACTTTATTATAGTTATAATATATATTAAAAATAGAAGTTATAAAAGTGAAGCCGCAAATACTAGTAATAATTAATACTAATATAGGTTACTATAACCTATAGTATTATATTAATTAATATTAAATAAAAATTCTTTATTTAGAATACCAAACTCAAATACTTTTAGGGGCAGGTATTCGAGCTAGGGTTTCTAGTTATTATTTATAAAGGCTAATCGGGTTATAAGATCTACTATTAGTAAGAGTATATACTTTAAATAATTCAGGATTATTACGAATTTATTAGAGTTTACCTTTATTTAAGAAAGCATTTTCTAATAGTAATAACCTCTGCCTAATATTAATATTAAGCAAGATATATAGTAGTTACGGAACCAAAATTAAGATTACGTGAATATAAATACTTATATAACAAATATATAGAAAATATATTAGTATTAGCAAAATATTAGTATAAGGAAATAATTAGTATAAAAGTTGGGTTAGTATTAAGATACTATTAGTATAAATATATAGTTAGTACTATGAAACTATTAGTATTAAAAAGCTACTAGTACTATAAAATTCCTGGTATAAGTAATTTGCTAGTACTACAAAAATAATTATACTAAGAAATAGTTAGTATAACTATATAACTAGTACCAAGAAACAAGTAGTACCAAGAGATTATTAGTACTATCAAATTACTAATGAAATTAATTTATTAGTACTATAAACCAAAGGTAGCAGACCACCTAACCCTTTATGGCCCCATATTAATTCTGAACCACCTAGAGGACCCCTCATTATCTGAGTGGCCGTGTACCACCCAAAGGGTCACATTACGTATGGGGAGGAATATTTCTCTGCCGTGATTAGCGAAGTGGCCCGTCTTGGAGATTGGGGGCTAGTAATATAGTATAGGACGAACTAGTATGCTCTAAATTTAGCTAATAGCATGTGCCATCTTCTAAGGGAGCCAGGGTTGCCCTGAAAAAGAATATTAAGGCAATTGTGCAGATATTCCTAAAGAGCTCGAAATATAGAATCGCGGGATAGCTTGATTATTTTAGCGAATCGTAGAAAGTTTAATAAAGGACGTGTTTTTGTTGCCTCAAAAATGGAAGCCTGAGCATGTCGTTTCGAAGCTCTCACATGATAATCTCCTACTTTTAGCTAAATTTGGATTTGCTCCAATTCTGACGCCACCTCGGCCTTATAATATATCGTGGCCGTGAGTCACAATACGGTCGACGATAGGACGTCGAGGCGCAAAGCTCGGCTCACAAGTGGCGTGATACCTTGTATCGACAGTGAATTTTGAGCCCAGGGAAAAGGAACAAACTCTGGATAACGACGCTTTCGTATACTGCCCACTACTCAAATAGCCCTTGAATCGATTTCTCAATATCTTCCATTAATTATCCTCTTGTCTGTTGTCCCAGAGCCAGGGTGCTAGCTGAAGGCCACTGGGAAGACGTATCTTCGCTACGCCTCGATCCAAACGCCTTAACATCCCCTCCACACTTTCGGACCTATCTCAGATATTCCCGCAACTGCAGCAATGGCTAACCAGCATACCAATGAGATGAGGGCATTCAATATTGAGGCAGAGATGGCCCTTTCCCTCGATCACATGAGCGAAGCAGACCTTCGTTGCTTCGCAGAGTTGCACAAAGATCCCTCGAGCGAGGAGCAAATCGAGAGAGATATATATACCTGCTTCCTCATCTTCATGAGAACACGCTCAGCGGAACCGCTTGAACGAGCCATTCGGCGAACGGAGGGATGGATCGCAGTAACGGCTTCAGATCACCCTGATCGCGCTCGACGATCTTACATTCTCGATATAATATCGGTCAAGATGGCCAGCATTAACAACTCTACTGCCTTGTGGAGGAGGATGAGCGGCTTAGGAGTCCATCACGGTACAAAATTTGAAGCCAGTGGGAGTATGGTCGACCTTCAGCATACTGTGAGTTACAATGAGCTGGCCTTAGCGGTTCCGCCTGCTCGACCTGCCTTATTGAACAACCTTGGATGGATGCTCGGCAAGCGATTTGAATTGACAGGGAAAACAATCGATCTCAACCGTGCCGTCGAGCTTAGCGGAAAAGCTATAGAAGTCACACCTCTTGGCCATCCCGATCGAGGGATATGGTTAAGCAATTTCGGATATTGGCTTCGTACGCAGTTTATGCAGACTGGGGAGATAGAGGCTCTCAACCGTGCCATACAACTCAGTGAAGAAGCAGTGACAGCTGCATCTCGCAATAACTCTGATCTAGCTGGTTGTCTGTTTAGACTTGGAGTTTGGCGTTTTCGGAGATTTGGGCTGATTGGAATGATGAGCGATTTTGACCGTGCCATCTGATACCCCCCGTTCGTCAATACGAGCGATTAATCAATCGCCCTCCCGATTAATCAATCGTAGCGCCCGATTAATCAATGGGGGGGGGATTACGATTCGGGCTCCACAGTGGGTCCCGATTAATCAATCGGGTAATATTAAGATTTAGGGAATGGCAAAAGCAGTATATATTAGTATACTTTACCCAAATCAAGCTTTATTATACATGCCTCCCACTTTGTCTAGATACTTTCATAGCTACCCTAGCCCTTTTTGGTACCCTCACACCCACTTGTTCACCTGATTCCCCTTCTCTAGCTCCATCCTCACGTACTTGCTCAATAGCTACTCTCTTCTTTACTCTCTCAGATATCCTTCCAGCCTTCTGAACTAATGAAATTGAACCCCGATTATTCTCCTTTACCCCTGCTTTGGGGAGGGTAATTTTGTCTTTCTTATAGGCCGTACCAGTAATAGGCAAATTAGGATAAGTTAATTATAAAGTAACTTTATTGAGAGTATTATGCGGCCAGAGAATTATAAGCTCACCATGCTTAGTAGTTAACCAGTAGCCCTGTTTTTAATTAGCTTTAGCCAAAAGTATATCCTTATAAGTTATATATCTTTAAAGTCTTTTCCAAAACTCTTACTAGAATCCGAGCCATTTCTATACTAAATCGATATTACTTTGAGATCTATAAGATTATAATCTCCTGAATATTATATTTAAGAGCTTTAGTACTAGCCCTCTTTACTATCTTCTCTTACTATTTCTTTATATACTCCATAACTCTCTTAGTTATTTTAGACAAAATTATCTCCTTTACTACTTTCTCCTATTCTGCTTCCTTATTAATAAATAAGCTATTCTCTCTATTCTTTTCTTTTCCTTAAACCTTAATAGTAAATGATTATTTAGAAGCACTACTCTTATTAATATTGATTTCCCCCTCTCCTAAGGCTATATATATATAGCAAGTACTCTCCTTATAATTCAAGAAATTAGTAGATAGCTTTTATCCAAACTAGATCTTATATAGTATATTACTTTTAGGAAGGGCAGATATAGCTATAGTATTAATTACTTATATAATTAAAGGAAGTAATTATATTCAAGATTAGATACTAGTATTTACTTATATGGCCCGTAGTTATTTCTTGAAGATTTAATTAGTAACCTTAATAGAGCCCTGAGATTAGAAGTAATAAGCTTGTCTGCGAATAATCATTATTTTTCTTTTCTTATAAACCTTAATTACTTTTCCCTTAAACTCGCCTCTATTATTATAGGCTAGAATAGTAATATACTTATTATTATTTAGCTATTTAATAAGCTTGTCTATAGCTTTGTCCGCAGTCTTAGCCTTAAGCCTATAGATTTAAATAAATTTAGAAAAATAGTATTTCAATTACCAGATCTATATATATTCTCTATCAGGATTATACTATAATAATATTAGTAAGTAATATAAATAAAAATCGCAAAAATTACAGGAAAAGCTCAAAAATACAGAAAATGCAGGAAATATAAGAAAGGCTAAAATAGAGGTAAATTATATAACTTAGGGAATACTTATACGGAAATCTATTAAATCCAGAACTATATACTGGCTAGGATAATAAGATTAAATAAGTATTATTCCTATATTATTTTTTTAAGCCTTCTTCTTATTATAATAAGTATAATAGGCACTTATCTAAGTATAATTATTACGGGATAGGCTATATTAAAGTCGTCTTATATACTCAAATATAGTATTAGAAGTTATTATATAATTAGTATAAAAATTAGTAGCTTTAAGGAAATACTTACTTATATATATTAATTTTTCATAAATAGTAGTTAAAATCTCAAAGGCATTATTATAGTAAAGAGTATACCGGGCTAGAAGGATCTTATATAGCAAGTATTATAGTACTTCTTATAATATACTTAATTATCCTAAAGCTTATATAAGTGGGATTTATATTTAATATTAGCCTAGTAATACTTCTCTGTCTTAGTTTTACTAGAAAGCAGAGTATTAGGATTTTGAAGCTACTATCTAATATTTATATATTTCCTAGTAATAAGAATTTTCCTACTACTTCCCTTAGTAAGCCTCTAATCTCATATAGCTTCGTCTTTGGCAGACTAAGTATTAATAGGCTCTTTAGTAATTAGAGAGGGCAAAAACTGGGTACTAGACAAATAAGCTCCTAAAGTAGTAATATTAAAATATTACTCTGCTCGCCTATAAATACGCTAATAAGGCATATGCGGGATTAGGGATAAATAAAGAATTAAAAGAGATATATTAGAAGTAAGGTAATTAATTAATTGAGAGATATAAAAATTAGTGGTTATATTTAGTAAATTAGTACTTATAGTACTTATAGTATGAACTATATCTATAAAATAAGGAAGTAAAGGCCTATATATATCTAGAAACTCTAGAGAAGTATTTTTACCCCTATTATTACTTCCCTTAATACCTAGAAAAAAATTAAATAAACTATATAATACTATAGGTATAGTATAAATAAGTGAGATATAAGCGAAATAAGAAAATTAGACTTGAGGATATACTTAGTATTAAATATTAGAAATCTATATTATAGTATAAAGAGTAGGGCTTAAGTAAAGTGAAGAATATAGAATTGAGGATATATTTAGTATAAACTAGTAAGTAAAAGCTTTCAGCTCCCTTAGCCCTATTAGCCCCGAAACCCTAATATTATGCGATTGATTAATCGGGACATTGATTGATTAATCGGGACCTACTGTGGAGCCCGAATCGTAATTAGCCCCGATTAACCAATCGTAGCGTCCGATTGATTAATGGGAGGGGGCGATTGATCAATCACTCGTATTGACGAACGGGGGGGAACACATCGAAGTTAGAGAAAAAGCAACGTTGGCCACATCTCTTAACCACCCTTTCCGAGCGGGCCGGCTAGGCAACCTTGCAAACTGCCTTGAAGCACGATTTGAACGGACCGGGGCAATGGACGATCTTGACCGTGCCATCGAGATTAGCGACAAAGCGGTCAAAGACTTGCATTCCGACCACCCAGATACGGGCTGATTTAGCGACGTTCGGCTCAAAACTTAAGGAATGCAAGAAAACCGAAAATCGCAAAAATCAATAATTTTAGGAATTTAATAAATTAAAGCTATTCAAGGCTAACCTAATCATTCGGAACGTGATTACATACCATTGAACTGCTTTCCAATTGAATTCCAAGCCTGTAAGTAATATAGATAGCAATGTGGGTAGTAAAATATATCGCACGTGACTTACCCCTATTCTCTACATCTTGTCCAACTTTCCACTGTGATTCTATGATACTTTATGATACTTTACCTAATTCCAATTATTAGAACTACTTTTATTCTTCAAAATAGGTCGTCCGCCGAAGACTCTTGAGCCTTATAAGGAGTTTATTTCTAATTTATATTTAAATAAAGGCCTCTCCCGCAAAGCGATTATTGAGCGTCTTATAACGGAATTTGAGATTAATACTACTATTCCTATACTTTAGCAAAGTCTTACTAAATAGAGTATTCGCCGGAGGGCTATGTTTATTCCTTTAAATAAGCTAAAGGCCTTAATAGTATTCTTTTTTTTAACTACTTGTACTATAGACGAAAATATGCTTTATAACCTATAATCTCTTAGGTATAATATTCCTAATATACAACTGCTTTACTAAGTACGTAGAGTAATAGAACTATGCCATAGAATACTTAGTTCGGAAGTAGAAGCTAAAAAGGAGCAATTGCGGAGGATATTAAAGGAATATACTATTAATTACGGCCCCTAGAGCACAACTCGGAGTTATAATAGAAGCTTTCTCCATGCCTATATAAACTCTTTACCAGGGAGTAAAGCCTTCTCTAGGAACCGAATTTAGTTAGTTTTACGGGATATTAATGCCCTATTAATTAGATATTAATATAAAGAGATATAATTAGCTAGGGAGAAGTACCGAATTAAAGGGCCTGATTTTATCTGGTTAATTAATAGCTATTATAAGGTAAGTATAATTATGCCCTATCTTTAAAAATCATTATCTTAATAACTACTAATCCGTTTCCTTAGCTATGATTTTGTGGAATCGAGATATATACCGGTATTAATACCTACTCACGCTTTATTTCTTGGATTTATATTAGAGTTATAAATGGGTATACTATAAGTATAATATTTGTAAACTATTACTCTCCTTTATACTCGCTTAAGCTAGGGGCAGTATATAATTCACTAGTATAGGTTATAATATTAATGAATTTACTTTCCTATAGCCCCCTTTCTTTATTTTATTTAAAATCAACCTAATTAATTATTACTTAGGTTACTATTCTTGTTTAATACCTTAACCTTGCCAATGAACTTCAAGTAATACCGCTTTTTATTCGGTCTAATAGAGGAGTAGAAACGCCTATAGTAGCAGATGCCTATTATATCCTGCACTAAATATCAAGTATTAAAGCAGGGTTCAATTCCCATAAATTTTCAGAAATCTACTAGTTCGGAACTAGTATAGCAAATTAATAAATTAAAGCTTAGTAGGCCTAATTAGTAAAGGTATTTTCAAGCCCTTAAAGTATAAATATTATTTATTAAGTTATATAAATCTTAGAGTATATTAAATAAGTAAAAGATCTTTTTCAAGAAGCTCCGTACTTAATGACTATATTCCCGTTAATTATTCCCTGATTATATAGCTATACTTGCAATATATCTTTCAATTATTAGGGAGCAAGTTACTAAGTTCGTTAGAATATGAAATATTTATATAATTAGGAAATAGCCTAATTATTTACACGTTATTTATGGACAACCCTTTCAAAACTACTTCTTTTTAAAGGAGGGAATTAAATGCTATGGTATTCCAGTTAATATTAATAAACTTCATAAACTGCAAAAAGAATATAAAGAATGGGATATAAATACGTATCTTCTAAAGAATATGCTTTAGTTCTGCCAGAAATATCTAGTAAAAGCTGGGTTTACCCTCCCTATTACAGAGTCTTCACGTAATACTAGTAAAGATATAGCTCATTTACTAGTATATCTTATACTATGAGACGAGATTACGCACCATATATTAACCACGAGTAATTTAATACTAAAACTAGGTCTTTTACTACTTCCTATTAGTATATATAATTAGGTACCACATCCAGACATTATTATGGGCCTTATAGAAGCTAGGGCAAAGAACTATAATAATTAGGATAGCATATAGTTTGTAAACGAGGGCAGGAATATACTAGCCTCTAATTAAGATTTTATTCATTTTCCGGACTCTAATAAAGAAAATAAGGATCTTGAGATTACAAATGAGCTAAGGATAAAGGGAACGTTCTTTCGAAGAGTTCCTGGTACTACAAACTGGCTAGTTAATAGTATAGACGTTTGCTAGTATATGAATAATAGATATATATATATCTGAGAGAGAAGATAATAATAAAAAAGACTTAGTATTACCTCTCCCTAATATTCGCTAATTTATCCGGCCAAGAGGAAATAGACAGGGAATATAGTAAACTATTTCTATAACTTAAAACCTTACGCTAGAGTTAATAGTTATTTAATAATTAATTTCTAAATATAATATAATACTATATAATTAGTAATATTTACTTAGTCTAATACTACTCAGGAAGTGAATCTCAGGGGCTGTAATACAAAAAAAGTCACGTGCCTTGCCTCGTCCCATATCTACTATACTTCTATTAAAAGTTATTATTTATTAACTAATTAGTTTAGGAATTTTACTTGAAATAAGCAAATTAGATATATAAATACTTTATTAAATAAATATAGGAGCTATTAATCTTATATTTCTAGAAATATTAAGAAGTATTTAGCATGGCCTATTATATATAACTAGCCGTTCTAAACCTTTAATATTCTTAATTTTGAATTCCAATCTTTATATATATGAAATACTACTTTGGAATCCGATATAATAGCTATTACTTGTTTATTCTTAACTATAAGCTGTACTATTATATCTCTTGGAATTAAATATTTCAGGTATATATTCGTGAGAAAAGCTCTAGTAACTTGAGAGTACTAGTACTTATTATTTTATAATATATTAATACTAATAAGTATTCTAATAATTAGGAATTCGTTAATAATACCTAAATACTAAGAGGAATATATACTAAATATATAGACTCTAAATTTAATTTAATAATTAATATATATAGATAATAGTTACTACTCTCTAATCCTAAATTTACCTCGATTTTTACTAAAAATTTATACTTTATATTTACTTGCCCTTAATACCTATTATCTTTAATTTTATTATATCCTTAACTTCTTATAGTTTGACCTAAAACTTATATAATGAGTTTACTTAAACCCAAGTATTCTTAGTATAATAACTATTTTATAAACAATAAATCACACTCTCTAATTTCTCGGTATTCAAAGTATAACTATAAGAACCCCGGATAAGAGAATTACTTGAGAAATAAACCTCTAAATTCTGTCTAATCTAATAGAAGTAATTAAGGTAAGACTATAAAGCTCCTAAATTCGAATAGAACTAATAAAAATAACGCTCTAGATACTATTCAGGAGGGTTTATCCCAATCTAGGGCTAAGTAGGAGAGGCTTAGTACTCAGCGAAAAAACTATGCTTTAGCGCGTTTAAAGATATATATAGAGGCTATACCTAAAGATATAAACCTTATTTTAATTCTATATAAATATTAGGCTAATATATTATATAATTAATTTAGGATCTAATAGAACTTATAGTTAAACTATACGAGCAAATGCAATTAATGTCCCAAAAGGGAAGCCTGCTTTACTATTACCTCCTTTAGTCGAACTACGTTATAAGGTACTAGCTTTATATATCTTTCGCACCTATAAGGCATTAAGTAATATAAAGGAAGTATGAATAAAGCGTGGTACATGTCATAAAACATATATTAATCTTAATAAATAGAGCCCTATAAATATTATTATTTCACGTAATATTCAGGAGGCATATAAATAGTAAGTTATTTTACTATATGCGATTACTATAGCTAATATAATTAATAGAAACGAGCTCTTACTTATAGATTTCGCTATATATCTCGTAAAGAATATATATTTATATTAATAGCTTTATTTTTTAGTAAATGAGCTTCCAGAATGGGAGGAGGTTAAATAGAGCTTTGACTTTCCCTTTCTAGCTATTAAGGTAAACCTTAATTATAAACTTAATATATTAAAACGAGCTAATTAATATTAGGTTAATGAGAAGACGAAGGAGGTAGAGGCACTAAGTCCATCTTTCTTTAAATAGGAGGCACTTGAGCTCCTGATTAGTTAATTTACTTAATAGAAAAAGACTAATTCAAGGCATATATATATATGCTTTAATATTAACGAGGAGCACGAGCTAAAATCGCCTTTACCAGAATAGGAAAATGGTTAAAGTAGCCGCCCTGTAATATTAATATCCCTAACCCCGGAGCTAGAAACTCTAACTCCCGCTCCTGCTCCTGCTCAAGCTAGCCAGGAGAGGGTCTTTCCAGGTGGAATTACTATGTCCCAAGTAAACGCCCAATTAGCGGCTGATTGCGAATCAGAGCCCGAATTTGAAGCTATAGCTTCACCTGCTAGAAAGAGAAAGAGATCAGAGGAAGAAGAGACCTTTGATGACGGAGTAATTGATTTGGAGGCTACTGGGGATAGCGTTTTTGTTCCTAATAGATTAGCTAATGCTCTAGGGGGTAGAGAGGGTAGTGAAGATAATAATGGAGCCCGGAGGGTCCTGCCAGCTAGAAAAAAGTCTATGTATAGGGGCAAGCACGTGAGGTTTAGTAACGAATAAGGGGGGGCGATCTGAGTACTAAAAATCTCGTATGTAACCAATTAATTATCTTTAGTGCCATGCGATCATTAATTTATCGTGATTTCGCATATAAAATGCAACTAATTTAATGTTGGGGTGGCAATTCGCGAAAATGCCGAGTTTTGATCCGAGCGTTCTTAAATTAAACCGTACCAGATCGGCCTGGCTGTTTAATGCTATTCGGAAACTTACTCAGGAGAAGATCTAAGCTGACTGGGAAGATGGGCGATCTTGACTGTGCTGTCAAGGTTAGCGATGAAGGGGTAGTGGCTATACCTTTCGGTCACAGGGATCGTGCTCGTACTTTGAATATTCTTGGAAACAGGCTTCTTGAACGATCTTACGCAACCGGGTCTAGTGAAGATCTCAGATAATCACTCCTCCGTTACAGGGAAGGTTGGAATTCTCCGAATACGGAACCGTCCAGGCGCATCAAACTAGCCCGGGATGCAGCAAGTATCCTCGCCTCTCAGTCAAAGTGGGAAGAATCAAGCGCCTTTTTGGAAGGTGCTGTTAAACTTCTCCTGCTAGTGAGTTTATGATCATTAAAGCATACGGACAAACAACATCTGCTTACAGAATTCGCTGGCCTCGCTTCTAGGGCGGCGGCCACTGCTCTAAGCGCAGGAAAGGAAGCCTATTATGCCTTGCAGCTCCTCGAACTCGGTCGTGGCATCATTGCTGGTCTGTTAATGGAGGTCCGCAGAGATATTTCTAATCTTGGGCAGCAGCATCCTGATCTGGCAAAGTTATTTATATCCCTTCGAGACGAACTAGACGCGCCAGCGGACAGGACAACTTCTTTGATCTCTAGCGGTAACACCTCTTCCTGGGAATCGCAAGCTAGCAGACGTCTTGAAGCGGACCAGGAATTCGAGAAGCTCCTCATCAAGATTCGTGCTCAGCCTGGGTTCGAGAACTTTCTTCTCCCGCCGACTGTGGATGAATTGATAGCGGGGGCAGACCTAGACCCTATCGTAGTCGTTAACGTAAGTTTCTATCGGTGCGATGCGTTCCTCGTTGAGCGGTGTCAAATTAGGGCTTTGGAATTGCCCCAATTGAGCCTGGAAGAAGTCGAGAAAAGAGCCAAGAACCTGGGATCGGATCTGACGACAACACTGGCTTGGCTCTGGCGTGTCGTTGCGTATCCTTGCTTAGAGGCACTAGGGTTTACCCAACCTCCTTCTGGCGATAACTGGCCTCGTATATGGTGGATCCCTACAGGAGCACTCAGCCATTTCCCACTTTATGCGGCGGGACGTTACTTCGACAGCTCTAAGGAAACAGTGCTTGATAGAGTCATGTCGTCATACAGCTCATCAGTGAAGGCACTGATATACGGGCGCCGACAGCGTGTTCGAATGCCAGCGCCCTCGGAATCAGAGGATGCTCTTCTAGTTTGCATGCAAAAGACACCAGATCAATCGGAACTCATTTTTGCCGCGCCCGAAGTGGCGATACTAAAAGACCTCTGCCTATTATTGAATCTAAGGCTGGTTAAGCTACCACAGCAACGCCGGGAAGACGTCTTAGCGCATTTGCGCATTTGCAAGATATTCCATTTTGCCGGCCATGGAGAGTCGGATCCCTCGGATCCTTCGAGAAGCCGCTTGCTCCTTGAAGACTGGAAGACTACACTATTGACTGTGTCAGATCTTCGTGACTACTAGCTCCACGAGGACTCACCGTTCATAGCCTATCTCTCTGCTTGCTCGACCGGCGCAAACAAAGTAAAGGGACTTACTAATAAAGCAATCCATCTTATTAGCGCCTACCAGCTTGCCGGGTTTCGCTATATTGTTAGAATGCTTTGGGAAGTAGATAATAAGTATTCTGTTAATACGGCTAGAGCGGTTTATAAGGCTATATGAGATATAGGATAGACTAATAAGGCAATAGTACTAGGGGTTTATAATACTACTAGGCTCCTACAAGAGAAAACTCATAAAGGATCTAGCCGGACTAGAGGTATAGAGAATTATATAATTCCGGAAGAAGGTATTCCCTTTATATAAGCTACTTATATTTATATTAGACCCTAGAATAAAGTCGTTTTTATAACAATTATTAAATAATAATAAGCCCTTATTAAAATTAATTAATAACTTAATCTTATTTTAATTTCGTTATATAATAAACGCGATTCTTATATTCTTAATTTATTAAGGCTTTCTTATAAGTATAATATTAAACTTATTCTTATACTTTAATAATAAATTAAATCTTAATTATAAAAATCTTTTCTTATAATTACTTAAAGAAATAAAAGTTTAGTTATTCTTAAAGTTATTATAATTAAATAAAGTATATACTTAACTTATAAGTAAGATATATTATATTACTAGTTAGTAGTAAAATATAATTTATAAACTAAATAAATAAAAAAGTAATATATAGCTATTAAATAAGTAAATAAGTTAAGCCGAATAATAAATAAAGGAAAAATAAAGAATATATTATAAAAAGTATTATTATATTAAATATAATACTATTAAAAATAGTACTTTATTTTTATTTAATAAGAAATAAATACTTTAAGAAATAAGCCTAGTTACTTTCTTTTATTTTAAGTTATTTATACTTAAATAATATAGTAATTCGGGTAGTTTTATAATTAAATAATAAAATATATTAAGTAATATACTTATTTTTAAAAATAATATTATAAAATCGATTTAATTTAAAATTAGCTAATTTTCCCTTTTTAAAAATTAATTTTATAAGCTCTAAAGTAAATAAGTAATAATAATTATAAAATAAACATTATATACTTATTATTAAAACCGTTTAAGTCTTTTTTATTCTTAAGAATAAAACTTTTAAGACCTTATTTATTATAAAATATATTATAATACCGGCTTATATTTTAGTATTCTTAATTTAAGTTACTAAATTATTATAAATAAAAATATTAATAACTTTATATTTGCTCTTTTTTATTTAAAGAGAGAAAGTAGTACTAAATTTCTTAAGGCTTAACTATTTTAATATAAAAGTTATTTTTATAATAAGAAGATTATATTTTTATTATTATTTTAATTCGATATATTAAATAAAAAGAATATATTTTAAATAAAATTAAACTTTATTATAATATTAAAGTTTATATCTTTATTAGTATTATACTTTTTAGTTCTTATAATAATTAATAAGTAATATAACTATTTTAAAAAGATTATAATAATAATTTTATTATTATACTTATTTATAACCCAAATTTTAAATAATATACTTATAATAAATTAATATAAGAGCCTTATTATACTCTTTTTAATAACTAATTAATAAAAGTTAAACTATTAATAGCTTTTTTAACCGAGTTATACCTTTAATATAAGGCTTATAAGTATGAAAGATAAATATATATATAAGAGAAATGCTTTTAAATAAAGAAGATTTATAATTATAATTAACTTTTATTTAAATTTATACTTGTTATTCGTGTTTTCTTTAATTTAATTTAATTTATATTTTAGTATTTTATTTTATTATTCCGGGTTTTATATATTTAAATAAATTATTAAATAAATTAGTTTATTTATTTAATTTATATAGTTTCGAGTTAAGTATTAATTAATATTTAAAGAATATAGCTTTATATATATATAAATCGGGGTATTTCGCTTTATAATATGTCTTTTTTATTAATTAATTTTTATATTATTATTTATAAATTTAATAATAAATTAATTATTAATTATATTTCTTAAAAAGCTTTTTAGCTAAAAAGGCATATATTTTAAAGCATAATTGAAGTAAGTTCTTAGGCTTATTATCTTTCCGATTTTTAATATCCTTAGTCCGGAATATATTTTTAATAAAAGAAAAGCTAGGTTTTTATAATTATAATATAAATTTAACGGCTTTAATTAATTACTTTTTTAATTAGATTTGAACTTAATTAAGAGAATATAATTATATATAAAAGAAGAGCTTAGAAAACTACTTTATATTCTAATAACTAAAGCTAAATTAATAAAAGAGAATTAAAGAATCTAGAATTAATTTAATTTATATAACTTTTAATATTATATAAAACGCTTAACTTATACTATAAAAGACCTAATTAAAGTAAAGAATAAAGTAATTATTAATTAATATATTCTTAAATTTATATAATTTTATAAGAATAATTATTTAAGTTATTAGATTTATATAATAATTCTTAAGAATTATAATATAAAAGTAAAAAAGGTAATTTAATTTTTATAACCTTAACTCTTGTATTTATTATAATTCCCTTATTTCTTTTATATAAAAGCATATATACTTTATTTTTTATTATATTTCCGAACTCTTAAAAGTATCTTTTTATATAGAAAATATATAAATACTAATATAAAATAATTACTTTAGTTAATATATTATTATTAATTAAGTAAAGAATATATTATATAAGTATATAATTAATATTATAATATCTTATATTAAGTTTAATAAGAGTACAGGAATATTATATAAAGTTTACTTATAAACTAAAAAGAAAATATAATATTTAAAAGCTTATAAATATATATCTTATTAATTACTTGTAATTATTAATATATTATAATATAAGAAATAAATAAAAGCGATTTAATAAGGAAACAAATATAATATAATAAAAAAGATATTAAAATAAAAAAGATTATAAAAGAAAAATAACTAAACTTAATAAAAATATAAATATATTATAATAATAAATTTTTTTATTAATAAATAAAAAAGATATAAAAAATAATATATCGTTTTTATAATTATATTAACTTTTAATAATAGCTTTACTTTTTGATTTTAATTAGAAAACCTCTTATATAAACTTAAAAGAGTAATATTAAATTATAATATAATATAAAATATTTATTTTAAATATAAACTTTCTTTTTTTCTTTAATATACTCTTAGTATTATATTAAACTTCCTTATTTAAATTTAAAGATTTAAGGTATTATAAGTTAACTAGCTTTACTATTATAATAAATATAAAATACTTATATATAAATTTAAATATTAAGGATTTAAGAAATAACTTTAATTAATTAATCTTAAATTTATTAAAGCTCGACTTTTTTTATTTTAATTCTATTCCCGCAATTTTAGGATTTAATAAAATAATAAAAGATTTATTAAAAGTATTTATAAAAAGTATATATACTTATATTTTTCTTTTTTTATAATAATAAAACTTAAAGCTTATAAACTACTTATTAATAAGTTTTAATTAAAAATAAAATAAAATAGAATTATTATTTATTAAATCTTTTATAAGCCTTAAAAAATATATAAGAACTAAATATTATAAATATATTATAATTTAAGAACTTCCTTTTTCTTATTAAAGAATAAGCTAATTATAATATTTATATTTAATATAAATTTTTTATATTTCTTATTAAGTTTAGTTCTAGTTAAAGATATAATATATTAGCTTTAAGTAAAGTTATTAATAAAATAAAAGGTTTATTTATATTTCCTTTATTAATATCTCGCTATTATAACCTTAATTATATAAAATAACTAAGTTATTTGCTTATTAAAATTTAAATCTAGGCTTTTCTAATAACTTGATATATTAAAAGTAATATTCTACTTTAAGTTTTAATTAATTTTCTCTTTAAAGTTGCCTTTAATAATAAATAACTACTAATTGTATTATATTAAAGGAAATACTAAAGCTACTTCGTGTTTTTTAAAGATATTAAAAGGTATTAGTTTTATTATTAAAGCAAAACTACTAATATTTATAACTTTAGTTATATATATTATTTTTAAATACTTTTATAAATCTTTTTATTATTTTAAATTAGTAATATAAAATAAGTATTAGTATATATATTAGATAATATAGTATATATTTATTAAGCTATAATTCTTTATAGTATTGCATTTTTGTAATATAAAATATAATTAGTACTATAGTAGTAGGATATATTAGGTCTTTCTTACCTATAAACGCAGCATTAAACGCTATTAGTACTTACTAGGCATTTACTTATAATTGAAGCTATATAGAACAAATCTATATAGATACCCGAAGCTATATATAATGCATTTATAGGTTAGTATAATAATCGGCAGATTAGAAAGCCTATTATATATAGAAGAAGACTTGCCAAATATATCTGGAAGTATTCGATATATATTGCAATACAGATACTTCTTCTATTCTATTCAGTCCCCACGTGACGCTAAATCCAACAAAATACTAGCTAAGCGGTAGTCACGTGACTGCGGCAGCAGCCACGGACCAAAATAAGCATGGTTCCAGATTTCCAGGTGTATCAAACGCGTTGATACCGGCAGACGGTAATGTCTCGACTAATATCGTGCCATTAGACCAGGTGAGCATTACAGTAACTGGAGCATTATTACAGGCAGAGTACAGGTTATACGCAAAACCATCTCCACCAGCTACTGGATTTTCTCCCATTACTGCAATAGATTCGTCGTCACCGTCCGGGCAGTCCAGCGTATTAAAATTTCCTAAACTAGGGCATGGTATAGTACCCGCCGGAATTATGGTCGAAATCGTTTGGGATGAGCTTATCGTCGAGGAAGGTGCCGAAGTAGCTGCCGACGAAGTTGTCGATGGAGTATATAGAGTTGTCTCTACCACTAGCAGAGAACTGCTGGTAGAGGTCTCTATCACTAGCGGAGAACTGCTGGTAGGGGTGCTGGTAGAATAGCCGGAAGAGGTGATTGTCGAGCTCCTCCTACTGGTAGAATAGTCAGAAGAGGTGATTGTCGAGCTGCTCATACAAGTATTCATATCTCCTGAACTAATATTCGGTAGTCCTTCAGTCCGGTGCCAGGACTCTTCAAGCTGCTCCTGAGCCTCTATCCAAACCCTGTATTTTCTCTCGCAGTTTGGTTCAGTAGCACTATATTGAATAAGGATTTTCCCAGCAGGTGATGAAAGCTCTAGAGCTTCTTTCTTATTCCTTGCGTACTTGTATGTTGTAATGCGAATACCGGGTATTATCGCTTTGAGTTTGTCTTGTATGTAATTGATTTTATCGTTATATTCGAAAATATATCGACCATCTCTCAACTTGACGGATGCAATAATGGCTCGAGGCTGATATTTGGCCTCAAAGGGTTGCGTAGGGTCGGCGAGCGCGCCAAGGCCCGGCATCCTATCTCCATTTCCCTCGACCAAAGGTACAAGTAACAATTTTCGAAATTCATCGAAACTTGTTAAAAAAAAGACTTGCTTCTCCCACCAATGCGATACCCACACGGCTCCTCTGGATATAACGATAATCGAAGTACATCCAAAAAGGCCAATTACACCAGTCCTAATATCCTGACCTCGAAAATATTCCAGCTTGGCCGCTCCGGGAATCCCCCGATACGCTAATAATTCCCCACTTGTCCCTGCATTATTTATCTCTTCTGTGAAAAATCTATTCACATCGCCGCCGTAATTCTCTGGACCCCTCATTACACGCTTAAATAAAGCTTCTGGCTCTTGGAGAGATCGGGCTTCTTCGAGTGAACATGATGAGCCGCAATCATTATCTTCACTACAGATTTCTGTCGACGGGATCGGTATCGATGTTGACGTGCTAGCTGTCGACGAGGTAGTCGTTGTCGATTTTGACGTGCTTATAGTGCTATGAGGAGGTGTCGTAGGGTGAGTGGCAGGAGGTGGAGAGGTTGGAGGTGGAGGAGGTGGAGGAGGTGGAGGAGGCGGAGGAGGCGGCGCACCTCCTCCACCTCCTCGTGATGTATTAGTACTTGAAGTTACGGTACTAGTGGATACTGTAGTAATCGAGCGAGTTGATGTAATTCCCCCAGTAGTAGAAGGTAAGGTTATGTGAGTCCGAGAAGTTGATGTAGTTCCCCTGGTAGTTAAAGATGATAATATATAGGCTAAATGACTTGTTGTAGATTTATTATGGATTGAAGTTGACATAGTTCTACCATTATTGCTTTCTCGGTGCTTTCGACTAAGGGTCGATACAGACCAACTAGAGGGGGTTGATATACTGTGCGAAACTAAAGGCGTTCTACTGGACGAATCGGTCGCTGTTGTGCTTCGAGAAGTAGACACTGCTATATCCGTTGACGTCGATTGTTGTCCGCGAGTATTAGGGATGCTAGAACCATGACAAGCAGAGGGATACAAAAGGCTTAGTAGTATAATGCAGATAGTTGAAATCCGCAGGAATAGAGAGCGGTCGACAGAAAACTTGAAGAAAAACATTTGGAGTCTTTAGTGTGAGCAATAATAAGTTATTGACTTTTGAGATGCAATAATAATAGTAGATCCAGATTTTGAGACAATATATAGGAAGGTAATATACTTCCCCTAAATCTGCTATACTTAATAGGGTCTAGTCTATAAAAAGGGCCGTATATATATAATATAAGATTATATATCCGGTCCGGTTACTTATTTATAAAGGCGGCAGGTATTAAAATCCGTTTAACTCGCTAAGCGAGGATTTGGGAAGTCTAGAACTATATATTTATAAATGTCTCGTAATTTCTCCCCAAATTTAATTATTATAAAAATCTTGGAAAAGATTAATATACTATTTTTCTATTATATAAAACTTTTATAGAAAGTTTTAGGTATTATATTAGGGATTAATATAACTTTCTATATAAGGCAATTTTGGTATTCTTATATATATTCTATAAATAGATAATTTTTAATACCTATTGCCTTTATATATATCCTATTACCTTCAAGTTATATAACTAAGTTAATTCTTAAGATATTAGCTATACTAATACTTAATAATATATATATTTTTTTATTAAAATTAAATTAAATTATTTAATATATTAAATAAGGCACTGCTTTTTAATATTATCTATAAGAATTTCTCTCTTCTTTTTTTATATTACTTATAACTCTTTTATCTATTACCTTTATTTCTAGTAGATCTTTATTTTCTATATAGTACCTAAGGTAATATTATCTCGATCTCGGCCTTATCTTTCCTATATTTTAATCTATAATATTAACTAAAGCTTATACTTATAGTAAATTCTTATTAAATATAATAGATATTCTATTTTAATTAGCTTTATAGTAATAAAATAACCCGGCTCCTATATATTAATAATATCTTTATATATTATAAATAAGTAATACTTTAATATATTATTTTATTAAATATAATTAGAATAATTTATTCTAAAAATAAAAAGCCTTTCTTCTATTATAGATTCTATATAGGCCACTTATAACTTTTTTCCTAAACTTACTATTTACTTAATAACTTTTATTTCATATTCTAAGAATATATAGAAACTTTTCTAATTAATTTCTAAGGCCTTATTCTATTTTTCCTAATACTTTATATATTATTCTAGGTAGTAATATTATTTTCTACTTCTATCCGAGCAAATTCGTTATAATTTGCCCTTTAAACTACGGATTTCATACGCCTATAAAACCCCTCCTTATTTACTAATTTTAATTATACTTTAAAAAAATAGAAAAAGCTTAATATTAATTCTTTTTCTTATCTTAACTTAGGTAATAGTATATATATCTATAATACTACTTCTAAGGCTATTTCCGGCTAATTTAAAATACTCGAATATAAAGCTTATATCTAGTAAACTATTATATATAACTTTATAGTAATAGTAAACCAGTTTATATCTGCCTATAATAAGCCTAATAAGTATAAGTTTATATAAGATATATATAATAAAATTATCCGATATCTTATAAACTCTTTCTTTACTAAATCTAATATTTCTATTTCTATTTATATTAAAAGCCTACTAAATTCTAGTATACCTATAACTAATTTAGTAAAATTCATTAGCTAGACAGATATTATAAAAACCCCGAAAAACTCAGGAATTAAGTCTCGGTCTATTAAATCGGGATCTATTTCCTTTTCTGGAAATCGACCTATATTAAATTCCGGAAGTGCCTTCCTTAGCTTCTTCTATTCTATTTTAGCTAATAGTAGCAGAAACTAGAAAAAGAAAAAAGATTATTATTTTCTAATTTTAGTAAAGCCCTAAGCTCTATTTAATAGACCGGAGCTATTTATACTTTACTAGAAACTTACTACTAAAGTTATAGATATTACTTTAGCTTTAGTTCTATTAATCTTACTAATCCGGACTAGATAGGCTATTATATTATCCGATTTCTTAACTAGAGACTTATTTAGCTTTTAGAAGAATATTAAAATTATTACCCGAATCTTTCGGGTAAAAACTATTAAATAACTAGAAATCTAATATAATTATACTATTTCAGGTATTTCTTCTAGCTTTTATTTTATTTCCGGACTCGAAATAACTATAATAATTAGTATAGCCGAGATTATAGAAAAAGAAGTTATAGCTCAGACTATAGAGTAACTTATTAGCTACTAACTATTTTATTATAGCCCGAATTCCTAGATTAGCAAAATTACTTGAATTATCTTTTTCTTAACCTTTATTTATTTATTTAGATTCTTTAATACTAGTAAGCCCTTAAAGGCTATTAATAAAAAGACTACTATATTCTATTATAATCCAGACTATTAAGATTTCTATAATTCTATAAAATATATAAAATATATTTATTATAATATTTATAGTATTTAGATTAACTAATATATTGGCTTTTTAGAACTAAATTATATTAAAAAGATATAATATACTAACTATTATAGACTGTTTTTAGCCGGATATAATTACTATTCTATTATTTCCTACTAATGAAATAGTAAGATTATTAAGCCGACTAAGAAAGAATTAAATGTCCTCTATTATAAAAGTAATTACAAATATTAGAAATTTAATATACTAGTATTTTTCTTTACCTATATTTTAGAATAAATATAAACTAACTTATAACTTTAGTTATAGATATTAGGCCTAGTTATTACTAATATTATAAAATCGAAGAAATAGAAAAATATAATAGTTACTATATATAAGAAAGAATTCTTTTAGATAATTTCTATTACTTTTTTCTTTCTCTTATTTGCCCTAATCTTATTTGCCCTAACCTCTAATAATTATTTCTAATAAACTATAATTATAGATAGAAACCTTAATATTACTAATCTTATTACTAAAAGCTTTAGAAATAATAGTATGAAATTTAAACTAGATAATAAATATTAAAAAGCTAGTAATAGCTCTATAGCTTATACTATATATAATAGTTCAGAAACCGGGACTTATAAGTCTATTAGGCAAATATTAGTAAAAGAATATTCTACTATATTATAATTCTATAAACCGCCTTTATTAAAAATATAAATATAGTTTATATTTAAGAATTATATATTTATTCGGGAATTAAGATATAGAATTATCCGGGTTTTAATTATTATACTCTAGTTAATTTCTGAAATAGTAAAAACTCTATTAGATAAGAAGTTAGACCCTATATTATAACTTATATATATTAAGAACCTAGATTTAAAATATAATAATACTATCTAATTAATAATCGGAATCTTTTCTAAATTAATATTAATAGATATATAATTCTTAATATATATAAATAGCTACTTTCTATAAAATTATAGACTATATTATATATCTTATAATACTTTCTAATTATCTAGTAAAGAAGAACTTTAATATCTAATATAATATATTTGAACCCGAAATATAACTAGTCTATTACAAGGCAGAACTCGCTTACTAGTCTACTAATAATAATATAGATTTTATAAAAGCTTCTAAAGTTATAATTCAGAAATATAAATATATTCTGAATTTTACTTTCTCGAATATTTCTTTTATATATATCTTAATCTGAACTAATCTATATTATAGCTCGAATTATAAAACTCAGGTTACTATTATTTCTAACCGAGATATAGTTTCTTTAAACTAATTTAATTATTGAATTTCGGAATATAACTTCCCTAAATTTATAAAACTAGTTAATAATAATATAGCTAGTTTATTAGACTCCTAAAATATCTTATATCTATAATAACTAGATAGTTATATAAAGAGACTTATAGATGTCTTTAGTTTTATAATTTAAACTATTAATAAGCCAGATTATAAAAAGAATAATTCTATAGTCTAGTAAATACTAAAATATAAAAAAGCCTACTAATTATATCTTTTAGTATATAGAAATATATATATAAATAAGGTTTCTATTAAAACTCGGGAATTTCTAATTATAGTTTATAAGGCTAAATAGAAATACTAGAAATAACGGATTAATTATATTAATAATAATAAGAATCTATATAAGATTATTAGATAATATAAGCTTATTTTAAATCTTAAAGCTTTTTTATTAGAAATTAATAATATTTAGATTAAAAACATATTATAGAAGACCGAAATCCTATATATAGAAGTTCTTAGATACTTTAATATAGCTAATAATCTCGAATAAAATCTATTAAATAACTGGAATAAAACTGGGAATTTTTTCTAGAAATAGATAATTTTTCTAAAAAATATAAAATAGTAGACTATTAGTATATTAAATATCTTTTCCGGAATAAGTCGAGTTATAGTTAGACTATTTAGGTCTTATTAGAACATTATTAAATATGTTATTTATAGACTTTATAACCGGTATTTAGTTCTTAACTACTTTTTATAAATATAGAAACTTACTAAAATAGCTATAATATTAAAGATTAGAAAGAAAAATAAATTCTTTATCTAATTCTAGAGATCTATTATATTACTTTCTTATATTTCAAAAAGCCTTAAGAGAATTATTATTAAATATATTACTTGAATTACTCTTATTTATAATATAAGGATATTTTTCTAAAATATTTTATAATAGATCTTATAGCTATATTTACTTATAATATTAAAGCTACTATAGCCTCTAGTAAATAAATAACTATAATTACTATAGATATCTAAAGGGCATTTAATATTCTTTTTATTAAAAAGCTACTTATTTATATAACTAAATAAAACTAGCTTCTATTTCTTTTTTTAGCTTATTTAAAGCTTTTTTACTAACCTGAAAGTTAGAATTAGGCTCGAAAAAGAAACTACTAGTTATTATAATATTAAATATAATACTTTCCAGAAATTTCTATTATTACTAATAATTTATATACTATATCTAGTAAAATATATTATATAGAACCCCGAATTATATTTTAGATATTATATTTACTAAATACTAATATTAATCTCCTAGCTTCTAATATCTATAATATCTTTACTTATAAAAAGGAAACAAGATCTTTTTTATATTTAAAAAGCTTGAGATAATTCACTTATTAATAAAAAGAAGTAATTATATACTATTATATATAGTTAATAAAATTCTTATAATTAATCTAATTAATTCGCTCTTTACTAGCTAGATATCTAGTTTAATTATAAGCTCTTATTTAGATATTATATTATAGAATAAATTATAAAAGCCTATAAAGTCTTATACTATATTTGAGGCCTTATTAGAACTAAAAATAAGCTACTTATATTTTGCTTATATAAAGTAGTTATTATTTATATCTTACTATTAATATTCTATAATATTAAAATATAATATATAGGCTATATTAAACTATTATATATATATTATTAGAACTATAAGCTTATAGTTAATACCCGAAACAAATAATATATTAATATAATTAATAAGATATTTACTCTTATTTACTAAGAAGTTTTATTAATTTAGAGAACTATTTCTATAATAATACTTAAAGAATTAAAACTATATTTTATAATATATCTATAGACTATAGATAAGAAATATCTACTTATTTAATAAATTACTTTATTCTAGATAATTAGAAATAAAAAAGCCGGTATTAAATAATATTCTAAAATAAAGATATAATAATTAGGTATTTTATTCTCTAATATATTATATTTAAAGCTAATAGTATCTTACTTCTTTTCCGGTTATCTAGTCGACCCTATAAAAGAAATTAATAAAATAATAGTATTAGCTAATTTTAAAGTCTAGTAAATAGCTCTTTTATTAGAAGATATTATAATTTTCTCGAATAAAGCTAAAAAAACTAAATAAGGCATTAAATTAGTAAGTTATAAATGGGTTATTTATTAGAATAATTATTAAATTTTTAAGAGCTATAGCTTTATTAATACTTTCTCTTATATTTTTAATATAAAAATTATTAATACTTAAAAAGGTCTTTATTATATAATTAAGAACTTCTTTCCGGAAATTAGTTAATACTGTATTATACTTTATATAAATAGTATCTTAGTTATTTAATACTTATAGAATAATACAGCTATAGTCTTATAATAGGCCTTTTATAATTATTAAAGAATTATAAAAACCTATAATATTTATATTAAATAGGGTTTTAAATATATAGGAATTAAAGGAAATAAGGCAGTAAATAAGCTTACTAATATTAATACCTTCTAGTACTATAATACTAGTCTTATATTATAACTAATAATAAGCGGCATTCGCTTAATTTTTAAATAATACTATAAAGAGATATAAAGCTTCTAATAGATCTAGTATAGTATTAAACTCTTTATAAGATATAAGAAATAGAAACTAGACTATAGTATTAAACTACTACCGGAATTCGGGCTTTTATATCCTATTTTATATTACTTTCTAGTAATATACTCTATTTATAAGAACTTCTCTTAATATTACTAGAAGTTTAATTATACTAATATTAATCTTATCTGCTTCTATAGGGTATTCTAAAGACCCGGAATATATTATATACTATTATAAAATAGCTAGGAAATTCGAATAATAGCTATAAAAACCATATATTTATATATTACCTATTATAGCTATAGAGGCATTTAGTTATTTTACTAGCCTAATAAACTAGCCAGAAGACTTTATAAACCTTTTTATTACTACGGAGTTTTACTTTAAAATCTGTTCTTACTAAGCTATAATTAGGAATAAATATACGGGTGCTTATATATATAATAGCAAGCTGGACTCTTGTTTTATAGATATCTTCCGGGTTAGTATAGTGCCTTTCCCGAAGGGATTTTCATTAGTATAAAGCTTTTTAATCTATTATTCTATTCGGGCCTCAGAGGTATCTTATTTTACTAATTAGCTTTCTTACTATAGGAATTGGGGGCACTTTAATTTATCTTAATACTTTCCTTTTATTATTGGGCTTTATAGCCCTTAAAACTCGCTATATTCTTTAGCTCTGAACCTTAGGCCTTTCGGTTACACCTTTTAAGCTTTTCTCGCAGGGCTACTCTCGAGGGTTTTCCTCTTATAAGTAACCTAGTTACTACCCTAACTGGCTGCAGGAGGTTTATAGTTACAAGCCTTATAGTATATTCGCTTATACTAGAAATGCTTTCTGTAGTAATACTATATATACTATAATTCTATAGCTTAGTACGTTCCTATACCCTATGGGAGGTTATAGGAGGTAGCCAGTTTTGCTAATACCCCGCCGGACGCAAATAATTATTAAATCAAATTAAATTAAATCCCATATAGGCTAGCTCCTGAAGGCTTGCAATAATGCAGATCTGATTTAATGAGCTACCGGCAAGTATGACTTTATTTAGTGAACTACCCAAGAAAATTGGTTGGTACTCCCCAATATAGCTCTGAGAATAAAGGGATAGTCCTAAACTTAATACCTGAACTGTGAGCGCACATAAGTGAAGTTTTTGTTCAGATGTTGTCGATAACAAATGTGACTTCTGAATGTCGAACAGCGTTTCCAGAATGCCAATTCCTGTCGAAAGACTCTTGGAGAGATTCAACTCGTTTATTCCATATTGTGCAAGAGCTGATATGTCATTCGTAAAAGCACTTATATCTCGGAAGGATACTGTATTCATTCTGATCACTGGAATCCTGGATGGAGACTTCTGACTTTCTGCGGACATAGTGAGGATAGTATATCGATCACAGCAAAACCCTCTCTTTTGGAGCTCGGACGATGCATAGTTAATGCCTCGCAAAGCGCGATGAAGCTGGCCCTGGGTCTTTCGGTCACTATCGGATTGCTGAACAAATCACATGGCACTCGAGCCCCACCACTTTTGTCTTGCATGCGACAATTTCTTCTTGCAAACGAATAGCCTCATTAACCTCTCGAACCACAAGCAACAATTCAGACACCATCCCAAGGTTGTTTCTGAGCGACAACGATGACTCAAGTTGCTCTGCCCGACTAGCTCTACCCAGCTTGGCGTCAACCCCGTTCTCGGTGGAGGACGCGAGAAAGTCCCTATCAGTTTTGACGCAGAGGTAGATGCGACTGGTGCATGGCTGCATTCAGCATCCCTTACGTAACGGGCTTAGATGAGATGAACACCTCGGTATGCTCATCCTACGGTGCCTCGATTGCACCGGTCCCGGCTTCCTACCTGGCCCTAGCATCGTCGTTCAATGCGACGTATACAGGAACTTTCCCAACACAAGGGAACACCGGGACTGGCAGAGGGCTAAGCCAGACGAGCTCACTATCGGGAAAGAAAACAAGCTCGTCTTCGTCGCGCTTAACCTCCGTTCGGACAATGTTTGGCGGAGGCGGTGCTGCACCTACTTCTTAACTAGTAACATACGGCTTCTATCCTGATCATATCGGGCCGTTTTAAACGAGATAATATATCAATTAAGGAGAAACCTAACTTTATATATTTACTAGTAATATAGCTAGTAATATAAGGCTTCTATTCTTATTATATCGGGCCGTTTTAAACAAGATAATATATTAATTAAGAAGAAACCTAACTTTATATATTTATTAGTAATATAGCTAGTAATATAAGGCTTATATCCTTATTATATCGGGCTGTTTTAAATAAGATAATATATTAATTAAGAAGAAACCTAACTTTATATTTATTAGTAATATAGCTAGTAATATAAGGCTTCTATTCTTATTATATCGGGCCGTTTTAAACGAGATAATATATTAATTAAGAAAAACCTTATTAAGGCTTAAATATTTCAGTTTTGTCTCATATAAAAAATACTTATATAAATTCCCCTTATTATTATTATTAATACTTTAAGAGCCTTTAATTTCGCTATACCGGAAATTAAATATCGTTACCGAGCCTGTACTTTATATCCGGGGTATCAGCTATAAATATTACTCTTATATGAGTCTATATACAAGAATGCCACTTTAAGTAAATCCCTTAATATTTTATATACTAGCTGTCTTGATTACAGACTTGGTATTATTAAAAGCGGTATAAACAGTGTATTAAATCATTAGTAGAGAACCCCCTGTATAGTGGAAGGTGCTAAAAGGCTTGGTATAGCTAATACCCCGAGTACTAAAGTATAAAAGAGAGAAAGAGATTCTAGAGACTTTCCTAGTCATTCTTCCGAGTCCGCTTCTTCCGAGACAACAGGCCACGTTTCACTTATCCTGGCTTGATTTTATATATAGACCCTTTAATCCAATCTTCATTCTATAATCAAGTCTGTTTTCACTAACTGATACTGTCACTGAACAACTGCTTGCTGCTATAAGCATTGATCGATATGGCCCGTCGTTTTACTCTATTCCGACTTCTAATCTTATTTTTCACTCTTTCTAATATAGCACATACCTCTCTCATTCCGTTTAATATATCAATGGACATTAATAATAACCCTCGCTATCGATAGTATCGTGGTATAGACAAGCGTGGCATAACTAATATTTTCATATATAATGTAGTAGAGAGAGGAGGCTGTTCAGCTAGCCAAATTACTCAAATACAAACGGCAGTCAGTGAAGCTCGGACTCTGGCAAATGCGGCTATTACTGCGTTAGGATCTGATCTTGTTTTGGATGCGTTTTCTTGGTATCGTTGGTTTGGGTCTTGTATGTATAAATTATTCTCTAATTAAGTTTGCTTTACTAATATTGTAAATAGCTAATGCGAACAATAATATGAAAGCACATATCCTTACCAGAAACTTCCAGGGTGTAATTGACAACCTAATAGAGCCAATAAGGGAAACAAACTATATAGATTATCTAGGTCAAAATGACCTGGTATATCTATGCCCAACTGTCCGTTCGTTTGGACGGCGCAATTTCAAAAAAATTTGCCCCATAAAGGAAGGAATTCCTGACGCAGCTACAGCTTCGTCACCTGAGGTAACATAATCGGGAAATTGGATAAGCCTCTGTCCAGCTTTTTTCGATACCATCACGCTTAGTCTTGAAGAAAGTGCCGAAAAATGGAAAGTTGATCTCTTTGGTATTAGCCAAGGGTTTGTCTTATTACACGAAGCCCAGCATTTAGCATCCATCGTTGGGGATTCTAATGTGTGTAAGGACGAAGCATACGGTCCAAATCAGTAAGTGGTTTTGGCACTTACTCAGGATTTCTTATTAGATTATATTACTTACTGATTTATAGATGCCAAGAACTAGCACCCAGTTTAAAGATTGTCAACGCCGATTCGATGGTCATTTTTGCCCTAGACGTATATTCTGTACCACCGTTAGGATCCGTTAAAGATTGTAGTTCTAGTTCAAAACGATCGAATAAGTTCCAACCTGCCGATATACGACTAGACAAGCCAGCTAGTAGCTCTACCGACAGGACTCGATCGACTAGATCTACAACATCATTGAATACTAGTACTTCATCTATTAAACCGGTTACTGCGTCTCTCCCACGAAGCCGCTCAACCAACGGGACTCAATCGAGTAGATCTGCCACGGCTGTGCCGATCATAACAAGAGCTCTAATAACTACGTCCATATCAATTCCGTCTGGAGATATATTAAGCACATCTTTATCTACAACGACATCTTCTGTTACCCAAAACGGCATCGTTGTTCCAATCATCATTGTAATCCCAATTGTTGAACCCGTCCCGAAGGACCCTCCCGTTGGAGGAGACGGTACGGGCACAAATGGAGGTAGCAATGACAATAATACCCCTACAGCATCAAAGCCCGCAGTCTCAAGCTCCTCTTCGAGCTCGGAAGCCCTATCCAGCACTTCCAGCAGCACTTCCAGCAGCACTTCCGCGAGATGTACCGCTTTGAAGCCCTTTGCAAACGAATTCGCATTCAGGGACAATACTATAATACCGATCGATGTAATAAAATCTGTATTGGCGATTATTGCTATTGGCGTTACAACTAGTGGTGACACTGCAGAAACTACATCGACACCCCCCTCAACCGTATCTACTGCTCCAAGCACCGCTACTAGCACCAGCACCACCTCATCGCCGGCGGCCCCCAGTACGTCTACATCTGTATCGCCGACCGAGCCTTGCCCAACTCTCCTATCTACTCCTTCGAACAACAATGCTGTAACTCTGAATTGTCCAGGTGGGAGTATTATTGTCACCCTGGCACCGGGTGTCAGCCCTAATCTCCAATATTATGTCCAGAACACCTGTTCCGTCACAGCTACTGTAACTTGGACGCTCGTTAGCCCCCAGACCCCAGAAGGTATTTCCGATTTTTTAGTGGTTGGACCAGGCGAAACTGTGTTTACTCCAATTTTTTCCCCGGCAGATTATACATGGGACGCTTCTTTCGCAATCGTAACCTAGTTTAGAGAGAACTCGCGGGCGTTGTTCCTTTGGTGCTGGCATTTGCTATGATGTGGGATCGCTTTAACTTAATTAGGAGTAGGCGTCTCGCCAATCAGAGACAGAGGAAGTGAAGAATAGTTCTACAGCTATATTAAGTTTAATTGGGCGCAGCTTCGAATTGCTTTGTAATCAATTGTGTTGAAATTAGGGGCCTGAGGCCCCTAATAGGCTTAGTAAGCCCTGGAACGGAACGCCATGGGGCTGTGCACCAGGGGCTTAATACCCTGTCCAGCTGGAATACCCTGTATAGCTGGAATCGGTTCAGCTGGCATAGGGATTTAGTGCATGTGATTTGGGGGGTTCAGGGCTATATATACGGGCTACTTACCACTGTAGAACAGCAGTCAATTCAGTATCGTTTACTTGGTTTACATTGCAAGCACGTGACCCTAGCTATATTGCTTTAGCTAGTTCAACAGCATAGAACTCCTAAAATGAAGCCTATAATACTATAGGGTATATTATAGCTAATAAATTCAAAGTAAAGGGGCGTATATAGGGGTATAGATATATTTAGGGTATACTAGTAGATTTAATAGTTTTAGCCCCCTTAAGGCCCATACCCAAATATTATACGATTATTAAATCGGGACCCACTATAGCTCCCGAATCGTATTCAGCCCCCTATTATTAAATGGGCACTCCCGATTAGGAAATCGGTGGGCCGATTACGCTATAGCTCGTATTGGAAAACGGGCCTTTACAGATCGCCTGCGAGCGATACCCACGATCGAGATCCGAGAAAAAATTTTCACGATATAACCCTCTACTTTCGACCTCCTCTTGTATATCGTAACTCGTTCAAATACATACCCACGACTAGAGGACAGGGCCGGGCGAAAATATAAAGGGGAAAAAGGCGGGTTATGGTTATGGTCTACGAGAAGAATAGGGAGGATTTTGGTCAGACAAGAAAGGGAGCCGTAAATAGCCTGCCGGGAATACTAGTTAATGTCTGGACATATAACTATTTATATGCAAGAGGAGGCCTGGGATAAGAGGACCTGAGGCGACTACTATCTATCTATCTAGAAAGCCTTTTATATGAAGATATATATATACGAGATAGAGGGACCTAGGGTATTTGTTTATTTCTCTCTGAGGCAAGGAGCCGGATACCTGTCTAGGGAAGACTTTATATTAAAATAGCAAGCTATACTAGTACGTGCCTCAGGTATGTAATATATAGCCTCCCAGTTTTATATATACTAGTATATATAAAGGGAGCTATACTTCCTTAATAGCTTAGTATAATTAATATATGCTTTTATAATATTAATATTCCAAGCTATTATAGAGAATAGTTAATTATAGTAATAAAGGCCAAAGTAAGATAGTAGTATAAATTAGTAATTTATAGTAGAATAAATCTCTCAAGATATATTATTAATATAGTATTCTTTTACTTAATATCATATATCCAAAGCAAGCCTATTAGTCTAACTACCTCTATTAAATGCCTATCTAAATCAGAAACTTCCCTAATTTCGCTATTAAATATATTCCAGAACTACTATTATAGGGAAATATAAAAAGGGTAGAAATACTAATTCGGTTTTATCTAGATACCCAGAATAATTTCTAATTTACTAAGTAAGATATTATAGGAAGTAACTTTAGTATTAGCCCAATCTATAATACTAGTAATATAGCCGGTTATTTCTTTAATATAGAAGTTATTCTCTAGAAAATTATTATACTAAAGTATTATTAGGAAGTCGGGATAAAAAAGAAAGAAGAAGTTTTTACTAATCTTATTAATTATTAGATATAGGTTATCTAGTAGCTTAAAGAAAAGTATATCGAGAATAGTTTTATATTTGGCCTATAAGCCAGATAATACCTTTATAGTTAGTCTATTAATTTATATTAAAGTAAAGAATCTTATAATACTATTAGAAATCAAGCTATAATATAGGTAATATTTAGTATATATTAACTAATCTAGTAAAATCTTAAATAGTCTAACTAAGATAAATATTTCTTACTATATTTAATAGAAAGCTAGCCCGGATATCTAATTCCAAATATAAATATAAAGAGATTCTAGAAAGCTATAGAATAAATAATATAATATAAACTTGCTATAGACTTATTAAATAAGTCTAAAGTATATTATATTAAGCTTTAAGGCCCGAAACTAGACTATTTTATAAATCTAGTATTTCTATATAATATAGCTAGTTTTGCCTTAAATTAGTATAATAGAAATAGAACTTTCAAGTAGCTTAATTAGTATACTTATTATATTACTCTTATATAATAGAAGTATTAGAGGAGAAGAAATTAGTAATTTATATTCGGAATAAATATTTATAATTCTCTGGCTTAGCTATAAATATAATAATATTTATTATAAGAATAATATAATATATAAAATACTTATTATATTTATATTAGTTAAAGAAAAAAAATAATAGAATACTAAATTTCTATATTAATATCTTTAAATATTTATAGGTTATTTTTCTGAGATATTATAGAGTTTCTAGTAAGTAATTAGTAAAGAAAGATTAGAAGAAATTAAAAAATATAAATATTAGAATAAGAGATCTTTCTATATATTATAGAATATAGTATTTTTATAAATTAGCTAAGAACTTAATAGTAAATAATAAATGAAATAATTAAAAAATATACTAAGTTATAATAAGAAAATAATAGAAATAAAAATAGAATAAAAGAAAAAGTATAAAGAGCCAGATAAAGTCTAGTAACTCGGCTAAATATTAGTAAAAAGGCTAGCTTCTATTCTTATATAATAATAATATTTATATAACTCGGCCTGTAATCTAAACTATTATCTTATAGGCTAATTAGGGCTACTATAAATAGTAAATATATTAATAAAAGACTTGAGATAATTCGGCTAGAACTCGTATTATAATTATAATTAGCTTTATATATTAGATTTATAAAAGATATTATATAGGATTTTATTTATTATAATTATAAAGCTAAATAAAGAAATATAAGAATAGAGAATTAGTTTTAAGGTTACTTCAAAAATAGCTAGTTAATATTTTAAATCGTAGTTTAGTAATACTTACTAGTATTTAGCTATATTTAACTAGATTTATATAAAAAGTAAATTCTTAAATAAAAGAAAAGAAATTAAAAGAATATTTAATTAATATATCTATACTAGCTTTTTTATTTTTCTTATATATTATTATTTATAAAATTAAGGTTATTATCTTAACTATTTTTATAATATAAGAACTTTAGTAATTAGTAGCCTATTATAATAGCTAGTATAAAGACATAATTTACTAAGAATAAAATATCGGAAATAGATATAAAATAAAGCTAAGCCTGAATTATTTAGATAGAATAATACTAAAGATTAAGGCATTCTCTCTATTTTATTTTATAGCTTAGTATTTTCTAATATATAAGATTCTTTAAACTTTAAGTCTTTAATTATTATATTAATTCCGCCGTTATAGTATTAATATAATTACTTATTATTTAATATATTAGCCAGAGAATTATCCTTAGTATTACTACTATAATAATAGATATTATAGAGCTATATTTATATAATATCTTATAAGCTTATATCTAATTAATAATCTTATTTAATTATAATTTTTATATTAATCTATTTTATGAGCTTACTAGAGAGCTAAATCTAAATAATAACTCGGTTTTAAAGGTTATAAAACTACTATATAATATACTAGAAGCTAGAAACTACTAGTTTAAAACTTATTATTTCTATTATATTAATAAGCTTTTTATAAAATAGTTAATTTATAATTCTTGTTTTCTTTATAATAAGTAATTCTTTAGAATTACTAGCCTTTAAACTAATAATACTCTATTTATTAGAAATAATAATTTTATAAAAATAAAGTAACTAAAGCTTTAAAAGACTAAGTTCTTAGCCAAGAAGTATAAATATCTTATTATTAATTATAATTTCAAGTTTAATAGAAGTATTATTTATATAAATATTACTAGAATTACTTTTATATATAAATACTAGTATAAAAACCTCTAATTATTTCTATAAAAAATACTATTACTATAAGTAATAGAGGTACTATTTATTAAGATCTCTCTATTAAGAACTAATATATTACCTAATATATTAGAGAAATATATATTATATTAGTCTATTAACTAGAAGCTTTATATAATCTATTAATTATTACTTAAGCTATTAAACCCTCGGAAACTAATATAAAGGCACTTAATAAGTATATTTAATAGCAAATTAAGAATACTACTAGAGAACTGAGATTTGTAAAGCTAGTAAAGAAATTCTTATATTTAATTATTTTTATAAATGCTTTATTTATAAATAATAGAAATTTTTTTTCCCAAATCGGATATATTCTAGTTCTAGTAAATAGAACTAGATATACTAATATTATCTACTAGTTCTTTACTAAATATAAGAGAGTTACTAGAAGTATTCTAGCTTCGGAACTTTATAATATGGCTTATAGCTTTAATATAGGCGCTTTAGTCAAATCTATAATTAATAGAATACTAGAAATAGAACTATTATTAGTAGTCTATACGGATTTAAAGTTATTATACGAATATTTTATTAAATTAGAAACTATTCGAGAAAAGCATCTAATAATTAATATAATATATTTTTACTAGATATATAAATAATAAGAGATTATAGAAGTTAAATAAATTAAGAGAGAATTAAATCCTGCCGATTTTATAACAAAATTAAAACTAATAAATACCCTCAAGTATCTAATTAATATAAATACTATATAATTAGATATAGAGAAATAAGTTAAATATAAATAGGGCAAGAAATAAATATATAAGATAAGAGGATATTATAAAAAGAGAAGTTATATATAAAAGGCTACGGTTTTTAGTATATAACTAAAACCTTAGAAGTAATATAAATATATAGAGTATTTGGGGAATCTGGTATTAGGCCGGATTAGAGAATTTGTATATAATTAGAAAGAGATACTATTTTTTGTATTTTTAGAGAGTTTCTAGTATTAGTATAGCTATTTCTTTAGGAATTATATATATAGTTACGGGATACGGGATATGGGATATAAGTAATAAAATATAGGTAATAGGATATAGGATACGAAATATAGTTATATAATCTTATATTCTATTAATAACTCGACTAGTAAACTAGACCTTTTTAGGCTTAGTAAATTTAGGAATTATATATTAATACTATAATACTATAATCCTTACTTCTAAATAATAATAACTTTATTAACTAATATAACTAATATTTTCATACCTATATAATAGTACTATATATTATTAGTAAACTAATACTAACTTTTAAATATAATTATAAATAAATTTATAAATAGTATTTTTCGAAAATTTCTATAAATTATAAATTATATATTAAGAAATAATAGTTATTACTATTAAAATATAGATTTAAATAACTATAAGCTAGTAATAATATATTTATATTAGATAATAATAGACTATAAATAAATTCTAAAAAGTATTAATAAAAGTAATAAGCTTATATAAAGTATTTCTTATTATCTAAAAAATAAAATAAAGTTCTATTAATAATACAAACAGTAAATTCGAATTTCTAATTCTAATTTTTCTTTTTTTTATATTTTTTTACTAAATATAATAAGCTTTATTTAGCTAAAACTTTTTTTAATATTTTAATTCTTTAATAAATAAACTAAGAATTCTTATTTAATTAGCTAGAGTTTTATTAATTATAAGAATATATTTATTAGCTATTATTTCAAGTTATAAACTAATTATTAGCCTTATTTAATACTAATTTTAATTTTAATTTAAAAGGTTATTAAATTCGGAAATTAGAATATAAAGTATATTATTAAAAAGCCTTATAACTAATAGTAAATAAATTTGGGAAGTTATTAAAAATATTAAATAGTTAATAAAGAATAATAAAATAAATAAAAATTATTAAAGAATAGAAATAATTTTTAGATTCTTTATTTTATTATTATAATTATAATAAATAAAATAATCCAGATTAAAAACTAATAATTATAGATTTTAATATATATAATAAACTTTATTTATTAAAAGAAATTTAAATTAATAATTATATAAAATAAAAATACCTATAGTTTTATAATAAGAATTACTAGCTAAAAAATAAAATAAGAAAGTTTTTTTTTAAAAAAAAGAGTTATAAGAAAAAAGAAAACCTAAATAGAAATAAATAAACTCTAGTTTATTAGAGAAATAATTATTCTAATAAGCTTATAAGAATATATTATTATAGAAAAGGCAAAACTCTTATAGTATAAAACTTTAGATAAATATATTAGAAGATTTAGTTAATAAATTCTAGTTAATTCTAATATATATAAGAATATATACTTTTATATTTAAAAAATAAATTAATAAATAAAATACTAGATATAATAATAATAAATACTTCTTTTTTATTAGCTAATCGGAAATATTATTTCTTTTAATTAACTTTCGAATATAATTATAAATAGATCTATAAATAGTATTTTTAGAAACTTTTATAAATATAGATTATATATTAATAAATAATAATTATTACTATTAGAGTATAAACTTAAATAATTATAAATTAATAATATATTTATATTGGATAATAATAGGCTATAAATAAATTCTAAGAAATATCAAAAAAAAATAATAAGCTTATATAAAGTATTTCTTATTACCTAAAAATGAAAATAGAGTTCTATTAATAATATAAATATAATAATTTTTAATATTATAGCTAGTTATTAGTAATATAAATAATAAATTCGAATTCTTAACTTTAATTCTATTATTAATAAAAGAAATATAAAATCGCGATTTCTAAAAATAATTAAAATTAAATAAAGCTTATTAAAAAATGCTAAATTAGTATAATAATTAAGCGATTTTTAATATATTAATTCCTTTAAACTTTATAAATAATAAATAATTAATTCTCGATTTATAATTAAACCTTAATATTATTAGTTCCAGGGTCTAGCCCTAATTAAATATAGTATTTCTAATATCTAAAGTAATACTAAAAGTCAAGTATAATATGCGAAAGTATTATATAAAGTGCGAATATGCTATATATCCGTTACGCTGCCACCAGGGACGGGTTTTCGGAACCGGAAAAAATGATATTCCGGAGGAATACCAAAAACACGCTTTATTATTTACATGTAAATAAACCATCTAATTAATTAATTGCACTACAATTACGATGCCAGACAATACTGTGTTTGATCCTACCGATAAAGGGACCCTTTGGCCTAATAAGGATCCACTGCGTAAGCAGGGGAGTACCTTTAAGCCTATGCAATTGCCCGAATTCGGCTGGGAAATCACCTTACCTGAAGACGTTTCTCCCGATAATTCTATTACTTTATTTACTATATATTATACCCCCAAAATTATTGATTTGATAGTTAAGAAGACGAATAATTATATGCGAAAACCTCAAGACGAATCCTGCCCTTATATACGAGCAAACGACTGGTACCCAATATGCTATAGAGAGATATATATCTACCTTGCGATTCGAATATATATAAGCTTGCATATGGATAATGAGATCGCAGACTATTGGATAATAAAGGATATAACATCTGAGCACCCAATTACGAAGTATTTAAGTAGGAATCGGTTTCAGGAGCTCCATATGCGTGTGCGATTCCATGGAAATCAGGAACAAGGCCTATATGAGAAGGTAGCTAATAACTCCTTATTTCTTTATTCATTTTACTTGAAACTAGCTAATAAACTACCGAGCAGGTCGAAGCCCTTAGTAGACACATTCAAGAGGTTAATTTGAGAGTTTGGAAGCCTGGACGGGACTTGGCAGTGGACGAGATAATCGTACGATTTGAAGGTCGATTAAAGGAGACAACTACTATTCCAAACAAGCCCATACCTACAGGATATAAGGTCTGGGGAGCAGCCCAGAGGGGGTTCTTACTTGTGTGGAACTGGCATATTCCTGGATAAAAGAATAGACCTGTGGGAATACATACTTTAAGAGAGCTTGGTGGGACGATTAAGGCTAGAAATGGGGGAAATAAGACACAAGCAGTAGTCCTGCACTTGATTAAAAGGTTGCCCAAGCTTCCTAAAGGCTCTGGCTATCACGTTTACCTTGATAATCTCTTTGTTTCTACTCGCTTTATTCAATACGCTCGCTTCCAGGGAGTTGCAATTACTAGGACTTGCAGGACAACTAGTAGGGTTATTAAGGAGCTTCTTGACCTTCAGAAATCAGATAAAAAGGACGTAATACCCTGGGGTGAAACCCATTCCAGGTATACGCCTAATGGGGAAGTGTGTCACGTTGGGTGGAAAGATCAAGCTTTTGTTTTAATAATGTCTTCCTTTATATCAGGTGACGAGCGTGTTTTACGGCTAAGGAAGAGGCCTAAGGAGACTTCTTCTAAAGCAAAGACTGTACGAAAACCTTTTGGTAATCAGGCTATAAAGGTACTTTTAATTCCTGTAATTGCGGACGGATATAATTATCATATGGGAGCAGTTAATGAGTTTGATCACCTGACTGCCCAGAACGCTGGTTTGCGGCACGTGGAGCGAGGAGGGCACCAAGTACTAGAGCACTGGCTACTTCGTACGGTTCTAATCAATTGCTATTTACTTGCTTTATGCAGTGATGTGCCAGAACCTAGGCAAGTGAGCTTCAGGAGTCAGCAGGACTTCAGGAGACAGCTTATTAGTACTCTAATTACTAAAGGAAGGGATAGTGAGATCTGTCCAAAGCGAAGGATATCACAGATTAGCCAGGAAGCTAAAGTGCCTATATAATCGCACAAGCAAGTAAAGCTTAGTAAGGCTGGGAAGTGTGTATGCTGTAAGGGTATGAGATATGGAGATCGGCCGAAAAAACGGGTTGCACTAGCTCAAATTGCAGCTAATCAGGGCAGGGAAAGCTCAAGGCATTAGAGTATCTATGGGTGCGAGCAATGCGACGTTCATTTATGTAAGAATCGGGGTTGTTTTGATGTATTCCATAGAGAGAAGTGAGAATTGATACTTTTAAGGGGGTGGTTTAGCTTTCTAATTGGCTAGAATTACGCGAAAATCGTCGTGCACGGGCCAACCCGTCCCTGGTGGCAGCGTAACGGATAAAGTGCTAATATCGAATGCAATTAAAAATCGGGGTTTTGGCAGTACAGGGGTTAGAGGCCTCGGTACGGTGGCGGAAAACTTTTCAATATTGTATTGAACTAGCTAAATAATAAAGCTAGGGTCACGTGCTTGCAATGTAAACCAAGTAAAACGTACTGAATTGACTGCTGTTCTATAGTGGTAAGTAGCCTGTATATATAGCCCTGAACCCCCTAAGTCACATGCACTAAACCCCTTAAACCAGAGAGCCTTATACTGAACCATTCAACCTCAGCTGAACCGATTTAGCCTCACAGGGCATATTATGCCCTGAATCAACCTTACAGGGCATAATCTACTCAGTAATAAGCCTATGGCTTAGGCCCTATTAGTGCACAGCCCCTAAGGCTCTGTTCTAGGGCTTACTAAGCCTATTAGGGGCCTCAGGCCCCTAATTTCAACATATTGCAGCATCTCAACCAATCAACTTCTCCAAAATCTCGCACAGCCTCCACTACAACCCTCGCACAGCCTCCACCACAACATAAGAACAGAACCTCAGAGCCTTGACTTCGCTCTCCTCTCTTTAATCCGGAGGTTGTCCCTCTTTCCCTACTCATATTCTCCAATTTCAAGACCCTTTCATTAACACTCGCACATGGATCCCCTCTCAATCGCCGTAAGCGCCGCAGGACTCCTGTCCCTGCTTCTACAGGTCTCTCAAAGCTTGATAACATATTACGAGTCTTGGGAGTCGCAAGATGTTGAGATCGCAAACACCTTGCAACATCTCAACAACTTACGTGACACGGCATCAGTTCTGAGTCATGCAATACCCAAGATATCTCACCACCAGATTTTCGGTGTGGATAACTTTCAGCGCTCGTTATCCCGTTTGGAGGAGGGCCAAAAGAAACTGGCCCAGACTCTTATAAAGTGCCGATCGCAGGAACCACCTAAGAGTCTGAAAGACCGATTACAGCAGAACAAGAAGAAATTGATATACCCCTTTAAGAGAGCTACAATCCAAGGACTTAATCAAACAATTTCAGAGCTGAAGGACGACTTGAGTCTTGCTAGCGAGGCTATGCAACTGTGAATACCTCTGCTCATAATCCCACTGCTACATCAATTATAGCTAATCCTGAAACAGAAATATCTTGTCGAATCAGCTGGAGACTAGCAAGGAAGTCAAGAGGATAGCCATATCGATTGAATCAGTCGCGACGCAATCTCAGTCCACCGTCGAGGCTCTGAAGGCTAATACTTCAAACAACGAAGCAGCCATATCCTTAGCCAACCACAAGCTTCAAAGTATCCATGAAATCAGTTCAAATACATGCGACTCAGTACTGAAATTAGATGCAAAGGTCGACACAATTAGCAGCAGTGCAGAGCAGGTTTCTGGGGTAGCGGGCTTGGATACGAAGTTGAATCAAATCTGCGACCAACTCAGTGAGATCCAGAGACATATGCAAGAAGGAGAAAATTTGAAACCATCAATTTCGTCCGCAGAACAAGTGCAGATAGAATTGATTCGGAAGCCTTCATTGCTATCATGGGTTTGTAACACAAACACCGAATTGAACGCAAAGCTTTCAGAAGCTGAAGCCACGATTCCCGGAGGGCCCAGCAATAGCGCCACACGAGCTTTATCACACCCCTGCTCGTGCTATCGTCGTTCATACCTCCAAGCTCGAGCCACACAATGGGGTCCACTTCATATCTTTCGACATACTCAGACCGCGGAGGCTCACGACAAACATTGCCCTTATTATGTCAGATCATCGAAGAAATCTAGTTTTGGAGCTAGAATAACGGTGTTAAATTGGTTTTTGGCAAAAGCCATCGAGATATCCTTCAATCACTCCGAAGGAGCGGGCGGTAGTTCGATGAGCCCGACTCTTACTCTTCGCTCCCTTGTACGAAACGATTCTCCCGCATTTACTTTGCTTAATCGCAACGAGGTTCGGAAATACTGGGCGAATAAAAATTACCTTAGACAGTCATTGGAACAAATTCTGAAACTCTTTCAGGAAGGGGAGGCTTCGCCCTATGATGTTGATAAAAAAGGAAGAAATCTTCTCCATGTATGTAAAAGGAATCTGGCTCGATACCCCGAATTTCTCAAGAAACTAATGTCAATATAGCATGTTCATTTTGCTCTAAGCGATCACTTGCATCATAGGCATAAATTTGATGAATTTCGTAAAGTGCATTGGTTGCCCGACCCTGATGAAATGTATAAAACATCAAGATGGATCGAATTGACGGTTGGGCTATTTGATGCTCACGTTCCCGCTTATGAACCTGATTGCCATTATGCGTGAGTACTGAGTTCCTTGTATTTGAATTTATTATTATATGGCTTCCTAACTTATACAATGATATCTTCATAGAACACTGTGGGACGATCTGGCTCTAGGGTCGGGTGACAGACCTTTCTCTCAGGCAAGCTTATTGGTAATGGCTCAATTAGCCAGTAGAGGAGCAGATGCGGTTAAACTTATAAATAACGGATTCGAAGATGAAGTAGCATGTGTGAATTCATGCCATTTCGTGCGGCAGGTTCCCGAGGTGTACGAAGGTGGGTGGTCCTTGACCAGTTGCATCCTCAATATTCTAACCAGAATAATTCCCCAGAGTCCTTCGGAATAGGTCCTCTTAGCTCCGCAATACGACGTCGCAATGAGGATGATGTTCTCAGAATATTGTCAAAGTTTCCAAATTCATTAATGTCTGAGAAAACAATTTGGGACCAGAATCCGCTCCACCTTGCATTCGACTGGCCCCGGGGACTTCGAATTTTACTCAATCATGGAGGGTCACAATTGATTAAACAGCCTGAAAGACAGGGCCATACCCCATTAGCATATTCTTTCCACTCCACCGATCTCGAAGCACCCCACATTTTATTATCCACATCATTGGAGAATAAAGACGATATCTTGCAATTCGCCATTTCTTGGTTTAGGGAAACCGATCGATGGGGCAGACCTTCCTATGCCAGAGAAATTGGCGAGCCCGTCTTGTCTTTGGTTGTAAGCATCATGGCTCGTCATAGAGAAATTCTCTATCATGAGACAACCATCAGTCTGTCCTCGGATATTCATGCAGCACCACACTTAGACACAGATGAAAATCTCGATGTCAAATTCGTAGGAGCCTGCCGAGCAACAGACAGTGAAGGGATCAAATTGCGTGCTCCGATGCGTGCTCAGAGGGAATATCCCTGGGAATTTGTTTATCATCAGCGAGATCTTACTATGATAGCTGCAGATAAACTTTGGGAGGCTGGATTCGTGGATATCGATGTCGAAAACGAAGCCGGCTTTACTCCTATTGAGCTTCACTGCTCCGAGGGTGATTGTCATAATTTTTTCGTCGTTCTTTGGCTCTTGGGAAAGGGAGTTAGCATGCGGGAGTCTCAATCTCCCCCGACCCATGGTCGCGGCCTTGCAACGCCCTTGCCATGTTATATCTGGTACTTCCTGAGCGAGTTCAGCGATTACCACCGCGCTCAAACCCGTCCACTATTCTATGAAGTTTCTAAGGCCTATCCCTCATTATATTCCCTTGAACTCTATGATGATTGTTGTTGTCCCTGCACGTCTTCTGGTTGCAATCTTGTTGTCTTTTTTCTGAAGGGCAGTCGCTCATATGAAGACGCAGAGGAGGTACTAAGCTTTATGGACGATCGCAGAGATCAGTTCGTAGGATCTCTAGCGTACAGCATCTTGCGATTAGCAACGTTTGAAGCATTGGGTCTAACACACACTTGCTGTAAGCCAGTCTGTAAAGGCGGTAAACTCGAGCGATTTGCTCCTCGATTCGAGGAATCTGAGGAGCATGAGCTGCATTACGAGGAACGGCACGGAATCGAGCAACTAAAACTGTTGGTAGATGAATTCATGGCGCACTATCTCGCGACGGATGGACTTATCGCACACTTTCTCCGGGGTTACTGGAAGATTCGAATGTTGGAGTATATCTCGTCAGGAAAACTTGAAAATGAAGAAGACACGATTCAAGGGATGATAAATGTGGGCGTAGTACCAATATCAAATACAGGGAATCCGTGCTCGGAGCGATTAGAAAGAAAAAGGAAGTATGCTATTGAGCATTGTGGATGGGATATTTTATGTGGGTCTTGTCGCGAAGAAAGCTATGAGATATATAGTAGAGTTGGGAGGAGCATTAGCCAAGAAACGGAGACTCAAGGGTCTGAAATCGATAGCGACGACGAAGGAGGATAAGTAGATAGTACAATCTCTATTATCATCTTTCATCTATCGAAATTCGGAGGAGACGGCTTTTGATTCCATTGCAGATGCTTAGTGATGACCCACGTCGCCCCTTTTCCAGCTGGTCTGAGTTTGTTGTTATAGGGGGTTTTAGTTGAACCATAGTATCGCTTAAGTTGAACCATATTATCAAACTCTGCATATGCTCGTTTATTTAGCTGAACCATAGTATTGCTTAAGGAAGCGAGACAGCTAGCCGAGCAAATGAATAGGTTTTATACCAGTTATATTTTAGGCATATATATAAGCTATATAAGCTATACGGGCTAGGAAGGTTCGAGTTAGTCCCGAGCTTGCGAGGGGGCTTAGGGTCAGGGGTTAGGATCCGGGTTAGTTCCGGGGGGTTAGGGGGCGGTGAGAGCCCCCCGCATTGGGATATATTAAAGCGTAAAGGCCCTACGGGTTAGGGGTTAGCATATGCTAAGTATATGGGTCCCATATACCGAGCATATACTAGAGCAATAATAATAGTAAAGCAAGATATATTCTAATTTCTAACCAACTTATATACTGCTTCTTAATAGTAAAGATAAAGCGTATGCTAGGTATATGAGTTCCATATGCCAAGCATATACTTGAGTAATAGTCAGTATATCAAATGATTAGGTTTGATTTGATTAGACCCCCCTACTCAAATCAAATCAAGTCAAAATCAAGCTAATCAAATCATACTTAATTATAATCAAAGATAATCAAAGATAATTAATTAGATTTATCACGTGATTACGCACATGACTCTGGAGCTTCGGAAGCCGAGATAAGGCTAAAATAAGGTCTGGGCTAGCCGTATTCGGTATTACTAAAGGCGCTCTTTACTAAACCAGGCCTAGTACTAATTAGTAAGCGAAGCCAAAGGCGCTAGAACCTCCTTGATTTCCAGTGTTACAATAGTAGTAAAGAGCTTGAATTGAGCTAAAGGCTATCTGCCAGGCTAAGGAAGCACTGGCCACATGCTAAGTCACGTGCAAACGTGCAAAAGCACCACGTGACTGGTACCACATAACAAAAACTAGTTTGTTATTTTAGATTTAGACTAATTTTATACTCTTATATATGCTTTATAAATTTTATTTATATTTTATTAATATAGCTATTAGTTATTTAATAATTTTTAGAAATGCCTAAGAAAGTATACTTTTGTATTATTACGTAATAATTATAATTAATTATAATTAATTATAATAAAAATCAAGCTAATCAAATTATACTTAATTATAATTAATTATAATTAATTCTAATTAATTAGCCTTGATTATTTTTTGACACACTGGTAATAGTAATAGTAAAGCAAGATATATTCTAACTTACTTATATACTGCTTCTTAGTAGTAAAGCTAAGCATATACTGGGAGTATGCCTGGCAGGCCGTTGGGAGAAGGTCGGGGTTGGAACGTGGGTGTGAACGAGGACTGGTGTCTATATATTATTAAAGCTAGTAGATACAGTATGGTTTTTATTAAGGAAAGTTGAACCATATTATGGAAAATACAAGGGTATTCTCGCTACTAATAATATGGTTCAACTTAAGTAATACTATGGTTCAGCTACTGGCTCTTGTTATAGGCTAATATTGAGAACGTAATAGACGCAATTCTAGAAATACAGAGATGGCTATAGAGACTTAAATCGTATAAAGAAGCTGAGGTTGGATTTGCAAAACCATTGGAGGCGAAATGTTGAATCAGAACTCGATAATTCAAGTCAAGAGTTTATATACTAATGCAACTCGAAGAAGCAATCAGCTATATATTTGTTATGACTCTTGCATGTTCTGATCTATTATGCAGCGGTGCCAGAAATATCCATTCTTTCTTTTTGATATAGAACAAAATACTATAGTTTGTTAGAAGTATTATATCTCACGCTAAACTGTATATAGAGTGTATTCACAAGTAGTAAAAGGAAAATCGTTACAGGTAGAGGTATTCTCGGTCCCAAATAAGTGAAATAATCTTCTTATCCTTTGAGCAGATCCTTAACACGTTCAGTAAACTTGAACTCTAAGAGCGGATGTATATGGCGTCCTATAATAAGAACTATTTCCTTAAGATTATTACAACATACAAATATAATATAACTAAGTACCATCCCGATACATTCAGACGTACAAACCTCAATGGTTAAAGACTGGACCTTCTTAATATCGGCGAATACGCAAGTCGGTTCCTTAAATGCAAACTATATAGGAATGGGAAGTGTAGTAAGATCGATAGTATCGCGAGCGAGATTAAAATATATCGGCATAAAGGTTTTGTTCTTATTATAGTAAGTAAAAGTGAATTTAAAACAGAGACAGCTACTTCCCGAGAATGTCGGCAGGTATAAAGCCCTGCTAGAGGAAGAGTATTAGGAAAAGAGAAGAAACCGTTTATATAATATACTTGAATGATACGAGGACCTGGAAGGGAGCATTGCCAGATCTTGGTTTGAAGTTTGGCTGGGAAGTTCGAAAAGAGGCAGAATATAGATATTAGGCTATCTAGGGTTATTATACTAGAGCAAAGAGTAAATAATCAATCTCGAGAAGCCAGGCGAGTTTGCTTTTATATATAGTAAAGAAGCTAAGAGAATATAAGCGGCTATCTGAGGGTTCTTTATAAAATTTTATATTATAGCAAAGTTAAGTAAATATATACAGGTTTAATATAACCTAATTCAAGCTTTACCTTAATAGTTAGTTAGTTAAGGATATTTGGGATAACCCCCTTCTATTTACTTATTGGGTTTTACTATATAATAATATATTAAAAGCAGAACTTACTTACTTGCTCTACTTAATTTCCTAGCTAACTAGTATACTTTATTATATAATATATCTGTATTACTTATATTATTATTATAACTCGAGGTTTTAATAAGTATCTTTACTTTGCTTATTATTAATACTTGAAATCAAGTAAATTAGAAGTATATATAAGAGTTATATAGAATATTATTCTTAAGTAATAACTTTTATAGAATAAGAAAAAGTTCTTAGCTTTTCTTTCTCTAGTAGCTTCCCTTTCAAGTATTTAATAAACGCCTATATTCTATATTTAAGAACCCTAACCTCCTGTATTATTACCGGCCTTATTTAGAGAGAGATATTACTACTTCTCTATAAGGCTCTTCTATCCTTTACTAGTTACTATATTAGCTAAACTAACTTTTTCCCTAGATATAGAGTCTCGGATATACTAGCTCCGAATTCAAAACTTCTTGGCCAAGCGGATTCTCTCTATTTAAAGCTAAGACTAATACCTCCTTTATTCTATATTAAAGTAGGTAATAATATCTCTGTTTATATATTAGAATAGCTATTATTCTTTTACTAGCTGAAATATAATTACGAAGTCTATATTAGGGTACTATTTTAATAGTATTATTTATATTTCGGATAACTAAATTTAATTACCGGCTAGTTCTTATTTAAATAGTATAAATACTATTCTTTATACTGCCCTAGCTATAATACCGGGGCTATAATAATAGTATAAAAGTTAATATAGTAGTAGTAAAACTAATAGAAAAAGTTTGAAACTATATAGTAGCAAATTAGTAATATAGTATTAGCTTAGCTTATTTTATATTCTTAAAGAGCTAAAAATATAAGCTAATACAAATATACTAATAGCTATTCTAGGGATAAGATATTATCTATTTATAGTAAAGTATATCAGGAAAATATCCTGTTTTAGGCTCTGAATTTGTCTTTAGAGAATAAGATATAACTTCCTATTTACTAATCCGAGCAATTTCTTAATCGGGGCCCCCAATTCCCAAATCGAATACTATAATTAGGAAATAGGAGATTCTTTACGGATTAGGGGGCCTATTACCTAATTAAGTAATATTTAGATATTAGAAATAAATAATAAAATAAAGATATATTAAAGATACTTTATCTATATTAAGCTTTACTATTTATATTTTCTTCTACTATATCTAGGTGCTTCTATAGCTACCTTAGCCCTTTTTAGTATCCTTTCCTCTATTTAATTACTGGATTCTCTCTCTTTAGCTTTATTCTTATATATTTACTTTTTAGCTATTCTTTTCTTTACTCTTTTAGATATTCTTCTAGCTTTTTAAATAGATATAATTAAATTATAATTATTCTTCTTTATTATTACTTTAGAAATAATAATCTTATTCTTTTTATAAATTATTCTAGTAGTAAGTAATTCAGAATAAGTTAATTAGAAAATAACTTTATTAAGAATATAATATAGCTAGAAAGTAGTAAATTTATTATATTTGGTAATAAGCTAGTATTCCTATATTTATTAGCTTTAGTTAATATATTTATATAGAATATATATTTTTAAAGTATTCTCTAGAACTTTTACTAGTATTCTTATTATTTTTATATCTAAAGTACTATAATCTCTTAATTAATATATTTAAAAGCCTTAGAATTCGTTTTTTTTATTATTTTCTTTTATTATTTCTTTATATATTCTATAATTCTTTTAGTTAGTTTAAATAAAATTATTTCTTCTACTATTTCCTCTAGTTTAGTTTCCTAATTAATAAATAAGCTATCCTCTTTATTCTTTTCTCTTTTAGTAATCTTAATTATAAATAATTCTCTAGAAATATTACTTTTATTTCCTTTCTCTAATATTATATATATATATCGAGTATTTCTTTTATAGTTTTAAAAATTAGTAAGTAGCTTCTATTTAAATTATATCTTATATAATATATTACTTTTAGGTAAAATAGAAATAGAAATAGTATTAATAACTTATATAATTAATAGAATTAATAATATTTATAATTAGATACTAGTATTTACTTATATAGCTTATAAGCGTTTTTTAAATATATAATTAGTAATTTTAATAGAGTTTTATATTTGAGAATAATAAGCTTATTTATAAATAATTATTATTTTTCTTTATTTATAAATCTTAATAACTTTGCCTTTAAACTTTCTTTTATTATTATAGGCTAGAATAGAAATATATTTATTATTATT